CCTATCCCAGCCTATCCCAGCTGACACTGGGTGGGAGGCAGGGTTCACCCTGGACAGGTCACCAGACTATCACAGGGCTGACACATTGAGACAGACAACCATTCTCGCTCACATTCACACCTACAGACAATTTAGAGTCACCAATTAACCTGCATGTCTTCAGACAGTAGGAGGAAGCTGGAGTGCCCAGAGAGAACCCACGCTGACACGGGGAGAACATGCAAACTCCGCACAGAAGGGCTCCCCCACCCGGGATCGAATCGGGAACCCTCTTGCTGTGAGGCGACAGTGCTAACCACCACACCACCGTGCCGCCCGAGGACTGAAACGTTACTAATAAATTGTGGAGCTGAGCAAGGCTGCTGTAGCTCAGTCGTAACTGTAACTGATGCTGAGACTCTACTGACTGCGTGACTGGTAGATGGCAGTGGGTGGCGCAACAGGCCAAAACACAAATTCAAAACATAAACATGATTTGTGGACCGTAAAAGTTTTTTTTAGATGCAAATATTCTGGCTGTATTATTGTTGTCGGTGAGATCAGTATGTTATATGAACATTATTCCTTAGTCTCTGTGACATATTAGGAGGATTTTATGACTATTTGCTTTAGACTTCTTACATATAGCTCCTTTAAAGAACGTGCAGCTGTCATGTTAAAAATGAACGGAGTGTTAAAATACTCATATTAACTGAATTTACACTATTAGTCATTTCCTGCCTGCATGCTTTTTCCTCCTCCTGCTTTATCCTGTGATCCTTTCTTTATATTCTTCAAAGGTCGAAGAAGGCGGCACGCCATCAACCAATTTTAAGAGTGACGCACTGAACACGTCATTTGACTCGTTTCATGGGAACATGTAAGGAGCCTGAGGAAGAAAGACATGGCAAACAGAGGAAACTTGATAACCACCTTTGTGGCACCCATTATGTCTGACTGAGGCTTTTGGGTTTGACGAGCCAGCTCAGGCAAAGAAAGCCTCTGTTGAATTGTTTCTTGGTACTGCTACATCAGAGTCTGACAAACCCCATCACAGTGTGACAAACTTCATGTACAGTGTAACTAGCTCCAAATAAGTTAATCTGAATCTGAGTTTTAACAAAGTAAAGCTAAGCATGAGACAGAATTCTCTAAGAAGGCCAACATGTTGCTGACTGACAGACGCAGCTGCTCCAGTGAATCACTGGTCTTTATCAGGTTTATAGATAGCCAGGGTCCGGGCTGATGGGTCAGTGGCGTTGGTCCAGCGGGGCATCCAGTAATGGGAGAGCCACTCAGACCGGCCTGGGTAGTGTTTCTCAAACACCTGTCTGAAATAGTAGGCCTCCTTGGTGGATGGAGGGACGTGAGGGAACGTCTTGTGAGCCTTTTCCATCTCGTCATCATTCACCTGGGAGAAGACAGAGAGCAGGTCACACACTGTGGGGCTACGAAGGTGTTTATGTGTTTCTCTAAATGTACTGAAAAACAAGCAAATAATAAACAAAATATATTTCTTTTACTATATCATCTCCTACTGGTTGCATCAAAAGAGACACAAGACTCTGCGCTGTCAAAATCAGCAGATAAAGCCATGACAGTCTGAGCAATGAACCAACACATTCTCACTGTTGACACTCTGGGACGCCGTGTCAAGTTCTGTCTGTTACATGCATTGTCTTCTTTCATAATACACTTCTGTTTTCACAGGAAATTTACTGTTTACATACAGTCTCTTTCAAAATAAAGGCACTACATTGATGTTTTTTTTCCTTCAACCACAAAAACATCTGTTTGGGTTTAGGAAAAAATAACAGGGTTTGGGTTTAGAAACTTAGGGGACACAAACACCCTTCTCACGGGTGAAAGTCTGTGTTTTTTGGACCCATCCACCACCCCTCTCGCCCGCCCCAGTTGGACTTTTGCCGCCTTAACTTTCACTCTTGTCCCGCTGTCATTAAACTATAATGGAAACCGGTCGCACATCATGCCATGTTGAAGGACGCCTTTTCTCGTTGGTTTCTGACGCCGCAAGTCACTGCACAAGCGCTGGATTTCAACGACTTTGGAGTGAGACTGGGCTCAACGAACCAACACAAGAGCAAGTGATTCTTAAAGATAACTATGCCCATTTTCAAAAGTTATACATGTCATTGCTATGGTCTAGGACAGTCCAAATATTTAAGTTAACAACTGTCGACCAAATCCAGAAAACTAGAGTGCTTAAACTCAAATGTGTGATGTCATCAAGTATACATTCAGTAGCTGCTCCATAGACAATGAATTGTCCCTTTCATTGTCTATGGAGCAGCTCCAGATGTAATACCCTCTGACATCACAAGTTTGAGCCTTACTTCTCTGGTTTCTGGCTTTGAGAGAGCTCATGTACACACACTGAGTGTAGCGTTAGTTCAAGTATCCCAGCAACATCAGCTGGGATCAAGCAGCCCGATCAGCTGATTGCTATTAGATCGCATGATTCCTTTCTACACAGCCAATTGGCAAATCTCGTTCAGTGCGCCCTATTTAAACTGCTTTAGCCTGCCTACTGTTGCTGCTTCTTGTGCAAGCCTCTTTGCAACCCGTCTCCACCCCAGCTCCACTTCTTGTAAATTGTCATTTCTGATGCTGCTCTGTTCTGTACCTGGGGGGTCTTTGTTGCTGCTCTCAGTCGGGGAGGTGTGCTCTCTCTGCTTTTGGCTTTCCATGTAGGCACATGGAAGGGCAGAGAGTTCCCAGAACAGAGCCGATCAAATTGCAATGGAAATAAAGTTTTCTTTGATTCAAGTGATCCTGACTGAAATAATGACTGACCTTTCCTCGGCCATGGAAATAACATGATGGAATTCTTAATGGTGGTGTTCTCCTTAATAGGCAAAGACCAGTGTGAAAAGCATAAGAGGATCGATTTGGTTTTATCTGTTTTTCTACAGATACATAATCACAATTATCCATGTGGCAAAGTATAAATGTTATAAATGCCAAAAGCACAATGACAGAGAGAAAACAAACAATGAAAGGTACAGATTGTGAACGACAAGGTGTAAAGGCATTCCTCAAAACCTTGGAAGGATTTTAAAAATGACAGAGAGATTTAATACCGCAGTCTGTCAGCGCTGTTGCTGGTTTCAAATCGTCATGTGTAAATGCACACAGCATCTCTCTTGATGAGAACAGAGCAACAACGGACAGCAGCTCTGCAGCTCTGCTCTGCTATGTTCTCATTTTAGAGAACGTAATTAATTTCCCTCGTTAATGATGTAAGGACCTATTTCACCCACCTGCAACCCAATGGCTATTAATCAGAACGCTGTTGCTGCTGTATGAGAGCTGTAAAGATGATTGTTTAAACCCCGTCTGTTGGCTGGTGTTTGACATGTGTGCAGTAGGAGAATCAGAGTGTTATGGTGGCGTTGTATTGTTTACATTAGTGCAAAAAACATGGATTTCTCCTTCTCTTTGATGCTGCAGGCGGGTGGTTCATGTGCATATGAAATAAAATCCTGCCGGTGCCACTGCATAGTTGTGTTATTTTTTACAGCGGACCTTTGTAGGTGGTTGACAGAAAGGGTAAAACCTTCTGTTTACACAGGAGATAAACTTGGCCTAGGAAAAACAAACTTGCCTCTCAGAGCTTCCTCAATTATCTTGACTGCTTCAGAAGCAAAGTGAGTTCATGTGTCAGTAATTAGGGAATGCACAGGTGACTGAGTCCCTGTACTGTTAAACAAAAGCTCAGTTTTACGCAGCACACATACCATAGACTCCAGGTGCTCCTGCAGACAGACGTACCAGGACTTCTTCACAGACATCATCCCGTCACTGAAGGCCTCCTTACGCCTCCACAGGATCTCATCTGGGATCAGGTTGACATCCTTGAAGGAATCCCTCAGCAGATGCTTCTCCACTCCGTGCTGCTCAGACCATTACAGACAACACTATTGTTACATGAAGCCGTGCTGGAGCGCTGCCTCCAAAGACTGTTGCATGTTTTAACTGCGACATGAACACTAGTTTGTGTGCTCAGAGAACACAGCAGCTGCACAGATGAACTGACCTTGGGGACCCTCATCTCCTCAGGCAGAGAAAGGTAGTACGCTGTGAACCTGTGATCCAGGAAAGGCACTCTGAGCTCCAGACTGAAACATAAAGAGGAACGTCAGATAAGTAACTAAAAAATGGCCAGTGGACATATAGGTACAGAGTACAGCACATTAACTGTTGCCCACAAACCTGAACTATTTATTATTCATCCACTGGTGCATTATAAAAAGGTTACCAGCTCCATTCCTATTAATTATCACTGTTTATCATTGGGGTTCTTTCATTTTTAATTCAGTTACTTATATCACAAACAGCTTGATCTTTCTGGCTTTGATGGCTTTCATTACTGCAGATATTTAGGCTCATTATTGAGGTTTAATTAATCACATTTGGCTCCAAATTAAAATGCAATATTAATTTTACCTTTTCGTGGTTAAATTAAAGATGAGATCTTAAAACCTTTCAGGCGTTTCATCAGGGATACTGAAATTAACGCACTTAAAAGCTACTGCACAATATTAATTAGTGCAATTTCTAATGTCGGTCTTTCATGTCAGTGTTTTTCTGCCCAATTAATTAGGTGACTTGCTAAATAAAAGCACAGAAAAACAGAAGTGCGCTGACGGAGCATGCTCTTTTTCTGAGTACAAGGACAGATGATCTTTTCACTGAGCAAACCACAAAATTGGATTAAATTTTTCACTGTTGGCGCCACCATTCAAAGCCATAAAGTATGATGAACAGAAAATGTATTAATCAATTATGTTGTTTAATCAACCAAAAACGCAAAGTAACTCCAAATCCAACTTCTAAAATTTGCACAGAAGGAGTGCAACAGGGGACGACACATCTTTTGCTGATTTATGTTTCATGTTTTTATGTTTCAGTGTGATTTAGTGTTTTAGTGACTGCACATTGCAGTGGTGTTTAATAAAGTGACAGGCGTTACCCATGTGCAGCGGTGGTGCGATCGGCACGGAGGACATCAAACAGGTAGAGCTCCTTCATCAGTCGAACACTGTCCTCTGCAGCTGCTTTGGGAGTTGGAGCCTGGAGAAGGAGCACAATTATGTCATCACCAACACTTTAGGAAAAATTCACTCCAAATGCATGGGTGAATAAATAACAGGGCGTCAACATACACCGCCTGGGCTGTGTTCCTGGCATCAATATAATGACACCAGGGACACCTTTCAGCATCTGCATGAGAAGCTTTCAACCAGCTCCAATATAAACCCGTCCACCTCATTATTAGATGTTCAGAGCAACTGACAGATTTCAGAAGATGAAAGCCTGCTTGGGTGGACGGTCCAACAAGCACAGGACTTAGACGAAGGAGACAGGTGTTCATGTCTTGTGTTCAAAGCTTTTCCTGACCCTAACCTAGTAGTTTGTCTACAATGAGATCCCTTCTACATAAATACCTGCCAACCCCCTGCGTCAGGATACAATGCATAAGACCGCCCCCCGGCGCCATTATAATAGGCCCCGAGGCTTCTGCCCAAGCATCAACAGATAGTGGGGATGAGATCACGTTGTTAATGAATGTCCAGCAAAACTCTGCACGTAAAGCACGACAGATCAACTTAAGTTCATTCAATCTTTGCTCTGTCTGCCATGTCTCAATAAAGACTCAAAGAACATTAACATATAAGTCAGCTACTGTATGAGCTGCTACATTATAATGGAAGTATATGAAGGCCATTCCTATGCTCAGTTATGTCTCATAAGTTGTTTCATTTGTTTCACAGATTTGGTGCAGAAATGTTATTATCTCTAGGTGGTGGCTATAAAGTTAAAGAGGCTGTGATTATCCTAGAGGTCACAATAGGTTATTTATTCATCACACATGAATACCATTAGGCTAATTGAATCTAAAGACTCTCAGCTTTCCAGACAGACTCAGTTCATGCAATACTATTTGGGGGCCCCAGTATGCAGAAATATTCAAATACACCATTTTTAAAATGGCAGGAAAAAAAATTTACTGCATGTTGCAAAGTTGTATGGCTTTTGCAAAAAACTGCACAGTCAATCCACAAAACCCATTTCATTCAGATATCTTGAGGTGAGAGGTCAAGAGGCCATGTTTAAAATGGCCATGTAATTTTCCTCACCAAATTTTACTCTAACTCTGGAGCATTATTTAAACTCCTTCACTACAAGCTAACATGACATGTCTGGTACCAGTGGATTCATCACGTCTAGTTTCATATGACACCGGTATCTTCACTCTAGCTTTAAAACACAGCCTGTTCCAGCCTCTAAAAGACAGTAACATAGGCCTCAGAGTGGAAAAAGTAAAAAAAAAATAAAAAAAACAGTGACTTGGTTAAGCTGACATGATACAGTCTTTGATTAAAAACAAAACCTAAGGGTGTCCTCCCAGCAGTCTAAGGAGCATACATGTACATGCTGCGTCCCCAGAATACTTTCACCAAACATCCTGATCTCTATCTCCCTGTCCCTCGTCAGTGTTAGCTGTCAGATAGAGGTAGATAAAAAGAGACGTCACTTCTACATCACTGCAGGTGACATATTCAGCCACTAGAGGACAGCAAAGACGAGAGTTAGAGCTAATGTTAAATGACTGCAGTTGCACAAGCCTTTTATTCCTTCAGGGAGTTTAGTTAATAAGGTGGTTCCAGATACTGTTCCTTACTTCTGTTTCTTTTTCCCAGTTCATTGGGTGGCTGCTCCTCTACTGAATCAGAGTAGTGGTTTCCACATGTTATTGCTTCCTTGTTGAGCAACTCCATTTCACAACATGGTTTATGTGCCACAGAGCCTCCTGTGTCTGAATTTACCTTGACTTTTGTGATTCTCCTCTTGTTTCTGGACTATGTGGCCCAAAACAGTTACCACAAAACATTTGCTTTGCATAAGACAATTAAAATCATTACATTAAATGTCATTAAATCATATTACTCTGGTATTTTCATTCAGATTCAAAAGGTTGATGGTGTCTGGAGGACTTGCCTTATGGAAGTAAATGTATCCCTGAGTCAGCTCATCAGAGCCCTCTCCAGAGAAGATCACCACACTGTCTGACTTCTCCCTGATGTACTTTGACACCAAGTACATCCCTACAGTGGAGGAAACACAAAGAAGAGATCACAAAGAGATGGCAACCTAAACTGTCAGATCAGAATAATGAAGGCGTCCTAATACAAATCAGTATAATATATAATCACAGTATGCACTGTGCTAGGACTGTTTGAAAGATGGCTACAATAATAAAGGATGATTTGAACAGCTTTGATAATTGATTATCACTGAAGCACGAACACTGTTGACAAAAGGCTGTACATTACGAACAGATGTTCTTTTTGTGCAGATAATTTTCTGTGCCAAAATTCAACCATAAATAATGGCATGAAGAACTACCAGCTAAAACATTACAGTTATAAATGAGACCATTAAGAAACATATGGTCACAAATGAAATAATGATGGAAAAATTCAAATCACAATAAAATTTCAATGAACTAATTACAAAATGAATTCACATTTAACGTATAATACATAAATATAAGCTACTTTAGTAAATCATCTTTAATTGCTTATGACATCATACACACGTCCAATGACTTCACGTTTACAGATTCACTTTTTTGATGAACTGGACCAGATTATTGGATCATAGATTCTATATTGTTATCAGGAATATAATGATGTAGTGCTGTGTTGTGACACAGTAAATGTCCCATATGTTGCCTCCATTGACCTCTTTCACCACTTAACTAATCTCCCTGCTTTTCACTGTGATTCAGACGAGCCAATCAGGAGGAAGGGAATGTAGGGGTGCAGCTGGCACGTTTTGGTCGCATGAATGAGCACATCGACCAGCACAAACGTGAGGTGACCTATCAGACAAAAAAAAAACGACTACACTACTCCCGACTGCTGAAATGCCTCGTTGGAAGAGCTGAATCAGTCGCCAGCGCAGCTTTAAAGCAGAGCTGAATCTGAATATTTGACTGTTCAGATATTCCCTTTTCAATTTTGTGATTTGGACATTCCTTTTTTTGAGAAATAACAACAGAAATTATAAATAAATATAAATCTCATTGTTTCCCATACACTGATTTTTCTGTGGCAGCCCGCCACAGTAACATTGACTGCCATGTATTGATTTTCTTTCTGTCTATATTTTTACTATTTAAAATGGGTAAAATCTTATTTCACTACAGAGCTGCATGCAGCGTATTGGAAGCTAACAGCTAGCTCACCCGCGGTCCCTCCACCTCCCTGCCACTGGGACTCTATTACAAGTATTCAGAGTCATGAAAGCCATGTTACACTCTATATCTTTTGATGCAACTTATTTTTTCATTTTTCATTAACTACGTTTCCTGGCATGCTCCACCCTCCACTCACCGACAGAGGCACGTACGGTGGTGATGTCATACGTCTCCAGGTGAAAGATCACCTCCTCCACAGCTTGGATTCCTTCTTCTGCAGTGAAGTTCACCTCGTGGTGTTCACTGCCAATGTGAGCCGCAACCTGACAAACAAACCACTTTGATTTTTCAACAACACACCATAAACCCTTTACACCATAGACTGTCCAAAGAAAGTAAGTCGTCAGAATAATTGTTTGCTAGTTAAAAAAAGCTAAATTTAACTGCAGGGTCATTATAAGAAAACGTGCCATTTTATGTCTCTCGAACAAAACTGTGCTATAAATGTCAATAAACAATAAATACACTATACTCATTTTAGAATTTATTTTCCATGATATCTCTTGTAACATTAAAACAATGTAAAATTTTATTTATTTTGTTTTCAAAGAGTTTTAAACAACTTTTTGTAAGAAGAATCATTCAAAAGCTGTAAAAATGGCCTGTCGCTCAATATGATTGTTCTACTTTTACTAGCTATTAAGGCCCAAAAAAGTCAAACTATCATAAAAACATAAACTTCTATATAAAGCCTCAAGTGTCCTTTCATTATTCATGAATGGGTTTTATTCTTAATATATGTAAAATGTTGTAAAAAAACATCAATTTAGTCAGGTCGCCAGGTAGTCGTCAACCCTGTTACTTTTAACGAAAACACCCTTTCTGAGATAATTGACTACTCCGAAAGTTGCATCATTTCCTGGGAGTGAAATCAGCTTCCTTTTGTGAACATGCTGGTGAAAAGACAATTAAGTGTCCTCTTATTTTCATGATTTTTCTTATAGTTACCATTCTAGCGTTAAACGGTTGATGGTAACAGGGTTGACAAAAGTATGGTTTTGCGAGTACATGAAAATATACTTTCCTTACCAATAGTATTTACATTATATACATTGTTTTACAAGTTTCATTGCTAGCTGAGAGGGAAATTGAAAAAAATGTGCACTTGGTGACAAGTTTTTGAAATATGTCATGGTGTTAAACTTGGTGGATTGGTACAACATGGTCCAACATGGACCCCATTACAATTTGGAACAGATCCAAATCTCTGGTGAGGGCCATATTGAAATTTGTGGCTATCCCAACTTGGTTTTTGAAAACCTTATACCCATAACTTACACTATGCCAAATTTCAAAAACTTGTCACCACGTGTACAATTTTTTCAATTTCCCTCTCAGCTAGCGATGAAACTTGTAAAACCATGTATATAATGTAAATGGTACAATGGTAACAGGGTTGACGAAAAATGTTCTTGGCAGCCATTACTAGCCATGTGGTGAAGGTCATGAGACCACATGGTGTGCATTCATTGGAGGGTTATATCATTTTATTTACGTACATTAAAAATTTCTAACAAATATCTTTTTAACGTGTCCTTTTGTGGAAACAGGACTGACACATTAAGCTTGTCCCCCTCTGTCAAACATATAACTCTAAGAAAAATCATGAAAAGAAGAGGACACTTACTTGTCTTTTCACCAGCATGTTCACAAAAGGAAGCTGATTTCACTCCCAGGAAATGATGCAACTTTCGGAGCAGGCCAAACATGTTCAATGGATCAATTTCACTGTCACTGTCCTTTCGATATCCTTCATGTTTTGAATAATGCTAAAACCTCTCAATAAATATGTCTCCAAAATATTCTTTGATTAGTCATGTTGAATTAAAGGTTTATGAATGTCCCATTATCTTCATTAGACCCAAAGCTGCAACTTAAACTATCAGTATGGTAACTGTTGTCAACCCTGTTACTGAGGTGTCAGCCCTGTTACATGTATAATTTTCTAGTATAATTCAAAAAATTAAAAGACAAATGTTAAATCAACTCATTTTATATGTTAAGTAAAAGAAACCAATAATCTACAGAACGAAATGTGGGTATTATTGTTTTGTTTCCATATTCTGTTCTTAAAAAGAAAGATGCTGTGAAAGCGTCAGTTGCAAATGAGCATATGCATCCATGGATAAAAATAAACACCTCATCTCACTGTACAAACACACTCACTGTAACAAGGGAAGATTTATCCTTCATAGTATATCAGATTTGTTGTCAATATGCATTTAAAACTTAATTGGTGTATCGTAACACGGTTGACAAAACACACATATGCATGTTGATTAAATGTGGAAAAAAATAAAAAATAAGATAGCCTGAGATGGCACAGCACCTATTTCTGATAGGATCTATTTAATCCAAAAAGGGTCATAAATAGTTTTAAAACAGTACTTTGAAAATCAAACATTAAGAATGGGAAATGGCATGTTTTCATACAATGACCCTGCAATTACGACCAAATTATGTGAACCTGTAACAATACTACCAGACAAAACATTATGTGAAAGACCTCTATCAGAAGGACTGACCTTGCGAGCAGCTATTATGTCTGGACTGTCCTCTGACCCGATTGAAAACGTCTGGATGGGATACGGCAGCTTCTCCTCCTTGGCCAGCTTTACCAGCATCGCAGCGACCAAACTGGAGTCCAGACCACCTGAAAGAAGGAATTTAATTTGAAAGGACAGACACAGGAAGTGTCCACGCTCAGCAGTCAGACAGGAGTCAGGTTAATTTCCAGGGCTGGTACCTGCAGTTATTCCACAGGCTAGTTAATAACATGTCGGTCAGGAAATCCAAAGTGTGGGATCATTTTGAGAAGGTGAAGGACGAACCCAAGGTGATGTGTAAACTCATCTTCATTGGTCAACTACAAACATGACGTATCATCTGAAACATGGAAGTAGCTACATGCCCATTAGCCCACAGCGTCATTAACAGGCGGCTCGCTCAGTGTGTGACGTGCACTTGTAGATAAAATATAGGCCTATATTAATGAAGGTTCATTAGTACGGTTTTGTATTTCTCTGTAATGTAGCACAGTGTTAACAATGTTACTGATACTGTTCTTTCTCACACCTTCAACTCAAACCATTGTGTGTTGCCCCGCCCATCTTCATCTTTTTGCCATCACTGTTTATGTAACAAACAGCGATGGGAGTTGTTTGATTGCAGATGGCAGAATATTAAATTACCTGACAGAAGACAGCCAATCCTCCTGTGAGCCATGAGACGATTCCTTACAGCGTTCTCAAACAGCAATCTGATGTTGCTTTTCACTGTCTCCTCATTGAAACCTGAGGAGACATCAGATTATGACATTGATTCAAAAAAGTTCATTCAAAATGCTCTCCATTTACACTAGTTAACAATGAATAGTTTCCTACCTGTAGGCAGTCTCTCCACAGTGTCGTATTTGGCATGAGCGGGCTCTTTGGTGCAGCAGTGAAACGGCGCCATCTGAATGGACTGAACTTTGCCGTTCTGCTTCAAATCAAAGACCTCAAAGTGCCCAGGGGGGAAGGGGACAACGTTGGCAGGGGTAGCCATCGCATGGGTAATGTTTGTGAGTCCTGTGATCAGGAAAACAACAAATCGAGCAATGCTGTAAAACATTAATAACAAGAGTATAAAGACCCAGATTCAAGGGGGGGGGTAATAAACTATCACATTACCTTTGGCTTCTGAGCAGACTGCAAGGAATCCATCGTCTGTGAGGAGTTTGAACAAAGGCCGCACTCCGTACGTATCTCTTCCCAAATAGACTTTTCTGTTGGCGGTGTCCAGCAGAATAAAAGCAAAGACACCGTCCAGGTGAGAAGCCATCTCCTGGATGCCAAAGCGGTCATACAGATGGAGCAGAATCTCACCATCCACCTCAGTCTGGTGATCAAAGTCAAAGTGTTTCCTCAGCTGGAAGAAAAGTGGACAAATAACACAGACAGGGTTATTATTTTAGGTTTCCTGGTGTGTTCACATAATGGTCATACCTCTCTATCACGAATAAAACACTGGATCAAACAAAATTCATTTTATTTTAGCATGGACTGAGTTTAGTTCTCTTCTCCCCATACTGTAGTGTCAGAGATTACCAAAAGCTGATCTTTATCATTCTTTCTGTCGCTTTCTTTATTCGAACATTTGTGAGAGCAAAAGCTGCAATGACTCAACAAAAAAGCATGACTTACAGCTCAATGAAGAAGGAATGAAAGGAACAGAGTCTACAGCAATGCTAGCACTGCTAATGAGGCTGTACATAGTGGTGCTAATGCTACTGTCAGGATGCTAACATGCTCACAACTACAATGTTAGCAAGTGTGATGTCTGCACCATCTGAGCACACAGCTACATTCCACTTCATTCAACTTTGGTCAAGCTAGCTAACAAGCTACATGCTAATGATGAACACCACCCTGTCTGACCAGCACAATTTTCAATAGGAGCGTCAGTCTGCCTGAAACAGTTGACTGTCAACTGTCTTTCTAGCATTCTCAAAAATCCCCAAAAGGTTGCGTTCACCGATTAATCAATAACACCAGATCAAGCCAGACATTTTTCCTGGCGTTAACACAGGTCTTTCCCTCCTGGATCTCTTTCCCTAGAACCAGAACTAACCATTACTACTAACAAAAGGGGCTTTTCACCAATAGCCCAGATACTACAATTTCCCTTTAAGTGATGGCGATGTTGGTCTTTAGATTTAGATTTTGATTTATTTATTTAGCACTTTATAAAAGATATAAATACAAAGAAATGACCAAAAAAGATCAGTGCAGGGAGAGGCAGAAGACCCAAACAGGCTTATATGAAGCCTCTACCTAAAGTTGCATAAGAATGAACCTGTGAATTTGCTTTAAAATAGCACATAAAGTGCTCAGGAATATTTCTTTTGCTTTTATATGTCTCACAAATAAAAACACAGATTTGAAGTATACTGATGTCATAAATACTAAGGATTCCAAGTCCTTTGAATAAAGGAGTGGATGCAGCATAGGATTCAGAACAATTCATTTCAATTGCAATTCTAATAAAGCGTTTCTGAAGGACCAGAATTCTGTGAAGGGTAGTAGGAAATGTACTTGCCCAAACTATATTACAGTAGGAGAGATACGGATAAATCAAACTATAGTAAAGAGTGAGGAGGCAATTTCTGGAGACGAGATGACTAACCCTCCTTATTATCCCAATTGATTTATTCACTTTTTTGCTAGCCCAGTCTGCTTGATCTTTCCATTTTAAGTTTTCATCAACAATAATTCCCAAGATTCTAGTGGATGCAACTCTAGGCATCTCCGTAGACTCAATTCTAATAATTTTACATAAATCCTTAGGGTATAACCTTTTACCTCCAAAAATAATAAAATTAGATTTTTTTAACATTTAAAGATAATTTATTTAATTTAAACCAAGTGGCATATGCGGCTAAGCCAGCATTTGCCTCTTTCATCAGAATATTGAAATTGGAATGAGAAAGAATTAAGGTAGTGTCATCTGCAAACATAATTGGAGAAAGAAGATTTGAAACATTTGCTAAATCATTAATATAGATTAGAAATTATAAAGGTCCAAGAATAGAACCCTGCAGTACCCCACAGAGTAGTCCAGCCATGTTAGAATTGCAACCCTTGACACAAACAAACCGCTTTCGATCAGATAAATAATTACTGCATCTGTCTGATGTCTCAACAGTTATGCAATCGTCTTCCTTCAAATTTCCGTTCAGGGCGTCGGTGGCTTAGTGGTAGAGCAGGCGCCCCACGGACAAGGCTGTTGCCGCAGCGGCCCGGGTTCAACTCCAGCCTGTGGCCCTTTGCTGCATGTCTCTCCCTCTCTCTCTCCCCTTCACACTTCACTCTCCTATCAATTAAAGGCAAAAAATGCCCTAAAAAATATCTTTAAAAAAAATAAAATAAAATAAAAATAAAAAAAATTTCCGTTCATGTTTCTCTCAGTTTCAGTTTTAATAATTAAAGTTTAACAAGACAGGGTAAAGCAGCAATTTAAGAGCATGAGGAATAAACTAAAGTTTGTGTCTTTTAGTCTTACTTATGTACTACAAATTCCCTGTGCATTCGAAGTCAGTAAGTGGGTTTTGAGGCTGCAAGCAGGAAACCGTGCAGGGGAAATGAACTGTCCTTGAGTATGTCGGTGAGGGTGCACAGGGTGGCCTCATCACGCCTGTTACTCAGTCGTGAAGACAGAATGCTGATGATCCTGCAGCATTGTTTTTGTACCATCTCCAGCTACTCTGAGAGGCCTTTCACAGCCAAGGACTGACTGGTTAATGACCGTATAATTGTTTTAGAACGTCACTTGGGAGATCAGCACTTTTGGCAACACTGAGGTAATATTTCCTTGGTCGTGTCTTTGACCTGGTATATCAGAGACGGAGGAGAGGGGATGTTGTCCTCTTTCCTGGCACTGATTACCATATCCATAGTCTTTGTCCATTCTCCTGTCCCCATTCAGCCACAGTCTCCAAGGCCTTCTAAGTGAGGCCAGGGGGGCCCCATCAGGAGCTCCGTGATTGTAAGGCCATCGACATATTTCACGGGGATACAGGGACAGTGACATGATATCTGCTAGGATTTCACAGCGAGTGGACACACAGGCACCCCACTGCAACCTCTTCTCTCTGCAACGCAGACAGTAACCTCATGGGGAGGCACTGAAAACCTTGAGACGCTGCAATAGTGGTAAACTGACGGATATTGTGACACATCCTGTCTACAAAAGAAGTGCAAAATAAAGGCAGGCTGAATGGGCGATGATACACCTGAACTCGTGTAATTTCATAATGCAGGCTCTGATTGATACCAAATTTGGTGTGACAGTGAGGAGAGGGTTTCTCTACAAGCATTAAAAATGGACTGAAAATATCTTGATGTATATAGTAAATACAGTCCTGCAAACACATAAGTACAATAGAAGCTTAGAATTATCCAATACGAAAGTCTATGATGAATGTATTAATTTACTTTTAGTTAGCTTTGACTGGGATTATCCCAAAAACACCAATCAGGGTTTTCTGGAAAGGTATGACAGTGCTGAATCCAGAAATATATGTAAACTGTAGCAGGTATGATCAGTGGCCCAACATGTGTGACTTGTTCAAGCAAAATGAAACAAGTTTAAATGGTGTCAATACACATAAATCAGGATCAAATTGTAACAGACTACTTATTGAAGGTTTTGTATCAACGTTAATTGAAAATTTAAGTGCTGTAGTTGGTGGAGACGGAGCAGTGAAGGCTCAACATGGACTACAGGACACCTCAAAATGATTATTAAGTACAGAAAACGTAGCACATTGTAATGCTGGAAATACAGGATTTGGTTTAGCCCAACATTCACAACAGATACAAAACTCTAAGACCCTCAGGGTGAACGTGCATTACACATTATAAAGAGCAGAACAGTTGGAGGCTGGTGGAGCAGGCTCAACAGGTATCTCACTGAAATGTTGATGTGCTCGTGTTAAAGATTCTGATTTTTTAACCAAGCTAGCAGCACGGCTCTGGTGATGGTGTCGCAGCCAGTTGCAAGGGTGGAAGAGGTGCTCAGATCTTTCACTAAAGCAAAAGTAGCAATACCACAGTGTGGAAATATGTAATACTTGATAATAAAATGATCAGAAGCAAAAGCACTTATTTTGCAAAATGCCCCATCTCAGAATTTCCAATTATTTTACTTCAAGGTGTAGTGCTGTGTTTCCTCAGTGCATCAAGATATTCACATTATGTTTTTCTCATATGTAGAGGAAACCCCTACACACTGTCACACCAAATTTGGGATCAATCTGAGCTTGCATTATTAAATTACATGAGTTCAGGTGCATTATCTCTCAATCTGCCTTTACTTTCCACTGTCAAAATCTCCGTCAGTTTCACCACTTTTGCTGTAAAATATTTTTGGTGGTTAGCACTGTCGCCTCACAGCAAGAGGGTTTCTGGTTCGATCCCAGGAGTGAGCCCTTCTGTGCGGAGTTTGCATGTTCTCCCCGTGTCAGCGTGGGTTTCCTCCAGGTACTCCGGCTTCCTCCTACTATCCGAAGACATGCAGGTTAACTGGTGACTCTAAATTGTAGGTAAGTGTGAATGTGACTGTGAATGGTTGTCTGTCTCTATGTGTCAGCCCTGTGATAGTCTGGTGACCTGTCCAGGGTGTACCCTGTCTCTCGCCCAATGTCAGCTGGGATAGGCTCCAGCTGTTTTAATTGTAGAACACAGAATTTCGGAAAAAAATAATAAAAACAGAATCTGAACTTTTGGTGACAGAGCAGAAGTGGCAGTAAATTATTTAATTGCATTGACATGGGCTAATCTTGGTGGCTACCTGAAAGGTCCAAATCTAAAATCAGCTCTTTCGATATTTGTGAAATATGTTCTGCTGTGTGACTTTCCACCGACACAAAACTTTCCAGTCACCAGTCTTCAGAAATTACATGTGCTGGCGCTGTCAGACACTCTTCTGTTTGCACCGAGGTCCAAATTTCTGTGGTAAACCAAATGTCTCCCCTTCTGTTCCTGAGTCATGGCGTTGAATAATGGCCGTAAAAGTGTTTTTTGCAGAACATTATGACGTCACAGTGAAGTAGACCTTTGACCTTTCAGATATCAGATTTAACATTTTCGTAAAATTGTGTTATAATTAGTGTATAACTCTTGAGATGTGGCCAACATCCTTGAGTCCAAGAGGACGTTTGTGTCAAATTTGAAGAAATTCTCTCAAGACATTCTAGAGATATCGTCTTCACGAGAAGGGGACATACATATCATACGTACATACAGACAAACAAACCGAAAACATAATGATTTCGGCCAAAGATGTAGGCGGCACTGAGGCATAAAAAGTGATGGAAGGATTTCGGTCTTGAATCATTTAATCGTTGAGTCATGGCAGGAATAATGGGTGATTGTCTTTCTGAAGAGCGTTTTGGGATTTTGTATTAATACCGAAGTGTTCTGTAGAGTCGAAACAATAAATTAGATTAGATTTTTTCAAACCACCGCCATACCAACACCATCTGCGTGTCTTACTGTGAGATGGTTGTAAATCTCTCCGTTGTAGCAGAGCCACAAGAAAGGAAACTTCTTGATGCGTAAGGGTTGCATGCCATACAGCTGGTCCACGATAGCCAATCGGTGGAAGCCAAAACAGCAGTTGGTGAGGCCGTTGACGTTCTCAAAGCGGAAGGCATCGGGGCCCCTGTGAGCGATCTTCATGGCACTGGTGCACTGCACTGACAGGCACTCATCACTGCCGAACAAAGCCCAGATACCGCACATCTTGGAGCTGTGGAAGAAGGATAGAAAAAACAGATGTACAGTGTTGATGAATGTGCAGATTATAACTAGACAAGGAAATACTAATAAGTTAAAATGTGGCATACAAACTAAATTGATCTGTTTCCATCGTTGAAACTAATACAGTGTTTTTTTATGTGTTAAGATTAGGGATGCACAATAATACCAGCATGTCATCGGTATCAGCTGATATCGGCTTTAAAATGAATCACCCAACATGCTTTTTCTTAATTTGCACAGTAACTGAATATTACATAAAAAGCAATATATTTCTCCCTCTGCTGGTGGGCCATCACGACAAGAGTATGCATGCATAATATGATGTTAACTCCACTACAAAAGACACTTGGTGGTCACTAAAATTAGGTAGGGAAAAAAGTGGATATATCAATATCGATTATCGAGCAAATTAGTTGTTATATATTGGCAAAAAATCCAATTTCGAGCATCCCTGTTTAATTTTTCTGAGAAAGTGCTTGTTTAAAAAGTGAAACATGTCTGATGGTAAGAATTTCCTTGAACTACTGTCAACCAAATTAGACCATTAAAGGGAACACCACCTCAGTTAAGAATCCAATATCTCATGGCAGAGAAAGGTTCAATCAATATCTGAGAACATGAGCTGCTCTCTCAAGGCCAGAAACCAGAGAAGTAAGGGTAACACTTTACTTGAAGGTATCCACATAACTATGACATGACACGGCCATGAACCTGTCATAAACATTAAGTACATATCATAAACATTTCTGACTGCTGTCATTAAGTGTCATTCGGTTTTTGTCATGACAAGTTGACATTGTTTGGGTTGTCTTGATTATGACAACTTGACATTAATCAAAGTGACATTACCAGAAGATGTCTTTGTCATGACAAGTTGACATTAACAAGAAATGCACATCTTTTTGTGTTAATGACAAGTTGACATAATGATTATTATTGTTTTGACAAAGACTGGTAATGTCATCCTGGTTAATGTCAAGTTGTCATTATAAGGACATCCCAAACAAATTTAATGTCAACTTGTCATGACAAAGACAACTTCTGGTAATGTCACTTTAATTAATGTCATGTTGTCATAATCAAGACAACCCAAACAATGTCAACTTGTAATGACAAAGACAACTTCTGGTAATGTCACTTTGATTAATGTCAAGTTGTCATAATCAAGACAACCCAAACAATGTCAACTTGTCATTACAAAAACCAAATGACACTTAATGACAGCAGTCATAAATGTGTATGACATGTACATAATGTTCATGACAGGTTCATGTCATAGTTATGACAGTGTCATGTCACCCTTATGTAGATACCTTCAAGTAAAGTGTTCGCAGTAAGTATTAAACTTGTGACGTCACAGGGTATAAAGTCTGCTGCATAGACAATGAATTGGAGCCTGATTTTACGATACGAGTATTGCACATCAGCCATTCGTGCATTACACATAACACCAGCACACAACACAGGACCAAAAGCAAAACACAACACCTAAAGCATCAACCGACATTATTTAACATCTTAATTGAGGTTAGCATAAATGAATTTTTAAAATGTTTCAGTTTAAATTTGGGCATCTTGTATTGTCCACCTGAGGGTAAAAGCTTGTGCTCAGCGTGGAGAATGTGGACCCACAATTTCCTTTGTTTATACCCAAACGAGCTTTATTCTATTGTAGTGTTCACAGAAAACATGCCCATATACTCAAAACATTCCCCTGGGTGCTCTTAGTGTCGTCTACATCTTTACCAATTCATTGTCAGTGGAGCAGCTCCAGACTTTAAACCCTATGACATCACAAATTTAAGTTATAGCACTCTAGTTTTTAGATTTGGGAGAGTTGTTGATGTTTATGTTGTTTTTTTTTTCAGATTTAGATTCAGGCAACTTTATTTAATAATCCCATCAGGGGTAATTTGTTTGAGCAGCTTGCCTTGCACCCATATTTTAACATACAGTGACATGTAAACACATAAATAGAGTTCAGTGGAATAAAGGAATCTATAAATAATAAAAGAAATTAATAGACTGATTATGAATAAGAGATTAAAAAAAAACACACAAAATATATTTACAGAGAATTTAAAAGACGAATAGCAGTGGGAATAAAATATTTTGAATACCAGTTAGTTTTACAAGCAGGTAAACGAAGCTGAACTGTCTTAGAAAGCAGGAATAACATACATGAATTATGAAAATGGCTGCAGTTCCCTTTTAAGATGTATAAACTCCAAAGACACTCACACACCAAGACCTACAGTGAGCAAGCAGCCACATGAGGAGTTTTTGCAACAGACAGTGCTTGATTGTTTCTGCTCTACATTTGGTGAATGGACAAGTATCATTTACAGGTGTGCACAGAAAGAAGCACTGTTCTTTTTGGCTACAGTTTGGTGGAGGGTTTTATTTACTAGTGACACAATTTCAAAGATTTGCAAAGCCTGTTTGAGGCTCCTACCTGACACACCAATACTGTGGATTTATTAAAACTAAGAGGGCGCCTGCTACCTGACCTATGGTGAATATAACCTGCTGTGTATAACAACTGTGACTCTCAGTGTAAAGTTTTGTTTAACTTGAACTTCCTGTTTCGTTCATATTCTGCACAAATGTTTAATTCTGCACAAATGTTTAATTTTGCATAATAAGTCTCAAACAAAGTGGGTGGTTATCTCAACTTACCCCATTGAAAGAATTAAGAAGTTTAACTTAGCTGTTAATTAATCAAACATTATGCATCACACAAAATAATTACCAACACCTGACTATAAGCTTCAACATTATTAAACCAGCACACCTGTTCGACCAGTAGCAGGTGCAGAATTTTCATTTAGCTAAGGTAACATTATGTTCCCTTGTGTCGACAGCACCTGGCACCAAACTCCATTCAAAATCTTACCTGTTTAACATTTGCTTAGCTGTGGCGAATAAATTAAACAGCTCACAACGTAGCAGAGGAGCTCTCATACATTATTAGGTGCTATTGTTTAATTCCGCTCAAATAAAGCTGCATTTAATTTCAATTAAAGCCGAATTTCCAGTAACACACTACTGTCATGCTCTGTATATGTGTGTAACTTATACTTTCAGCTTTGAAGCAGCATTCTTTAAAAAATCAGTTTAATTTAATTCAGTATTTGTAAGCAGATAATTAACACACACATACACACACTGAGTCCTTGCTTACCTTCTTCTTTAAATGATACCCGTAGTATGTAAGATGCTGCTGAGACACTGCTGTCTCTCGGATGTAATGATGCAACTGCACTGACTCCACTTTGGCACGTAATCTAGCACCGGAAATCAGTGATTATGTCTTCAAAATAAGAGCGTGCCAAGCTACATTGTTGCCCTGTATTCATGAGGGGGAAGCAACAATGCAGCAAACAAATTACATTAAGATGCGTCTATAAATATTTTTAAAATATAGCTGTTAAACAATGAGCCTACTTAGAAGAAATGCAGAAGTAGCTGTCATCACTTGTCACATCCTAATTTTCTAGAGTATATGCTCAAACTTCAGGCAAACTTGCCACATTTGTAGCCCAAGTGTGTTACCATATATTTTACATTTATATAGTTCTTGTTTTTTCTAGCTCTAGGCCTTTGTATTGCTCATACATATTTTATTTGTATTCCAAAAAAACTTGAAATTATTCAGTAAACTGTTTTATTTTGAAGGCCGCATCTATCAATGATCAGGTGTTATTGAGTTTTTTCCAACTTGATGGTGCAGCCTCATGTCGGGCTACAACTGTAATTAGGCTCACTGTTGCATCACCTCACACACACTACTAAAGGAAGTAATCAGCTGCTTTATGTTAGTGGAAGAACTAGAGATGTAGTTTGTTACATATCAAAATAAAGTACAAATATTGATATATAAATTGTATAAGAAAACAAGCACTTTGTTATTCTGGCCTACAAACTACATTGTGACATAGAGATATTATCACATTTTAGGCATTAAGTAGTCTTGATATGGGTGTGACTGATAGCCCTACTTCATAGTTTTGGAGGTGGATGATGTAGATTCAGGGGGCCGTGCTGTCAGTCAAAGCGACCACTGACTGTCTGAGTTAACATTCAATTTATAATGCAGCTGGGGGTAATTGAACAGTAGCCTACCGCCACAGTGATGCAGCTTCAGATGACAATAACAATGGGCATTAAGCAGATGTTGAAGTACTCTGTTACAAGTCAAAGTCCTGCATTTAAAATCAGCATCACTATTTCTACAGGAATTCTTTGAGCTGATCCCACGTAGTATCACCAGATATGATTAATCCTGAATTAATAATAAAGACTGACTCTAAGGGTATGAAGCTTATGAAATTACCGGACAGCTTTAAACCTACCCAGCATGTAAATGAAGCCACTCGTTGGCATGGTAACATTCAAGACTTAGTATTAAAAAGAGGTTACTATTGGAAAAAATCAATTGTGTCACATTAACTGAGCTTTGCGAGACTGTTTAAGGTGTAACTCCTCCACTCTGTGCCCACAGCATTTTTTAAGTGGGTGAAGTCATGTCCTGACTGGAAACACTCAAACAGACATCCTTCCACATGCCTTCAAAAAAAAGCTGCCGCTTGGTGCCATCAATAGAGAGCACAGTGCAAGCTTCCACAGTTATCCAGATGACACACGAGGGTGGGCGTCACATTTCAGCCTCCCCCAGTCCCACCATGTTAACACCATTAGCTCTGTCAGCACTTTAGCGGTTGTTAGCACCATTAGCTGCTAGCCGCTGGCTTAACAACCTCCATGTTGAGAGCCGTGTGCAGGCAATCTGAGCTCACTGAATCATAGACGTGCTCTAAATGTTGCTTTTAACGCTGCAGCATACAGCGCCATTTTAGACGACATCAGTGTCGGGCCTCATCACTGCTCACATGGCTGAATGTGAGCCAAACCCTGCAGCCTGGTTCAACATGTGACAGATCATGTTCAACAACAAGCTAAGGGTGGAATATTCAGGTGTCTACAAACTTTTGCCAAGCAGGGTATTTAAATGAAGCTGTTCATGGACAAGCAGATAAAAGTATAGACTGCAACGACTGCGCCTTGCAACGTATCGTCATGCAGCAGTTCATGTATCTTATATCTTAACATTATGTATTTAACCCAAAGTTACGTAGGTTAAGTTTAGGAAAGGAAACATGAAGAGGACGTACCTTTAAATAAGTCAGAGTTCACTTGGAATCTTATTCTTATTAAAGCATCGCAGGTTAATGTAAAGATAAGTAGTATATAAGTGGTCCTGTGCAGAGGTTTGCTATATGTAGGAATATGGTTATTGGAGTCAGGTTAATCTACATTTTAAAGTCAAAAGACATTAAGTAGGTTCAGTGGTAGATTTAAAGATTTTTAACATCAGAAGAGCTTGATTGATTTGACATGAAGAAATGAACAGGTAAATAAATAAAATTAGATGAAATGTTTGTGGAAATTAAGACCTCACAAATTCAAATTTATGACAAATGACTTGATCATAAAATACTAAATATTAACTTTTTAATAAAAAGAAATTAAGACTTTTTAAGGACCTGCAGATACACTGAGACAGATACACTGAGAAAATTAAACCTAACTAAAACAAATATAGTTCAGTTTTTGTCAAAATGGAACCGACTACACAGGAAAACCGACAAAGTCCTTTAGTACTGAAGACAGTCCTTTGCAGCATGGCACAAAAAACAGTTTTACTTGTCTTAGTGAGGTTAAAATCAATTTGAGACAAATACAGACATGAGCACACCTACCTGGCTCCTCAGATAAGGTAAGCAAGGGTTTGGTGTCCTCACAGCTATAATGCAACCCCAGCTCAGCTGACCTGGGCCCTGTCTCTGGACGTGGGTTTAGTGAAAACTGAGTTAGTTAATCCTGAGAGGAGGGAAACTCTGGGTTTTCCATTTCAGAAAGAGAGGTAACTTAAACTCTGTCTGTGAAGCTATCCTGCTTGCTGGCAAGTTTTCTTCAGCAAACCTTAAGTTCCTCTCTGCCTCCCTCTGACAGAGCCAGACACGCTGTTTCATGCACATTAATTAGCAGAGTTTACTGTATGTCACAGAAAGGATCTCATTCTTTAACAAAAAGGTTTATCTCTGTGGGGATCCTTTCCATGATGTTGACACTTGGAATAACAATCAAGTGCCTGTCAGTGGCAAAAACAAGTAGATGTAAATTAACAATGCACGATTGCCCCACGTGGTTACATGGCACCCCCGACTGCAGGTCTCACTTGATACTGCACCAATTAAAAAAAAACTTGCTGACATCAGTCACTTGGACAAAAAAACATGAGAAAATGGGGTTACCATTTCATTTTTTGACTGGACCATTGACGTTAAAGTTAACAGATAATCACTTTTCATTTCTACCACACAGACACCATAACATTAAAATATCTCATAGATCTTTTAAAACCAATTGTAGACTCTATTTAATAAAAGTTACATTTCAACAAAATGACAGAAGGAACGTGAACATTGATAACCTGGTCCATTTTGGTCAAAGCAGGCATTTATTGTCTCATTGATCCACAACACCTGACATATTTCCTGCTCACTCGTATTCTTCATGATGAAAACGTATGTAGAGGGTAGGCAGAAACAACACATGTAGCGTAGTTTGTGTTGGTCATCAACATGAAAAGGATTTGTCTTTTAGTTGAGAGTTGAAGGTGAAAATCTGTTAATATCGAACTACATTTACCAACAACCTGCAGGGTCGCTGTAAAGTCTGTTACATACTCTGCATGAGCAACACAAAGGGTGTGAGGGAGTGAAAAAGTACCGGTAGTCAGAAACTGTTATTGGTTTTGTGGCAGCACCACAGATATTACTGCTGTATACACAACTACACATAAAAGATGCAGTTTGCTTAAAAAGAAGGAAACAAGTGCAGCCTTTAAAGGAATATTTCACCCACAAAATCAGCATTTGTAGATCAGTTACTCACCGCACGCTTCCTTGAATGAACTTGCATGTCTTCACAGTGAACAAAAAGGGGCGAAAGTTCTTGATGAATCGAAGGAGACCACGTTTAACGACAGCAAAACTATACCAAAACATCCGTTTACAACTTTCTCACAACTCCTCCAGTATCATCCGAGTCTCGTTTGTCCTGTCGTTTGCTCAGTACTTTCCAAACACATGCATTTTCGCTTGAACATTCCAACCCACTATATTCAAACCATATTGATATAGTTGTGCCGTTGTTAAATGTGGACTCTGATTACTTCAACTCAAAGAATCTTTGCTTTTTTTTTTGGATTATTTGTTCAATGTGAAGGCATACAAGAAAAACAACCTTTTCTTCATGAATTCAAGGTGACACGCGATGAGAAACTGATACATAAACCGAAGTATTCCTTTAAGAATGTAGACTAATGGAAGACCACTTTTAGTGCCCAGTGCTACAAACACCAAGCACGCCGACCTGATGCCAAAACAAAATGGCTTCCTTTGTGTAGATGAGCCCTTTACACTAATATATATATATACACACACATACATACACATACATACACACACACACACACACACACACACACACATACACACACCAGCTATAAAGTAAAAGCTGGCTGATAAATAAGCAGGCCATTATCTTAAAACAAATACATATATATATGTGGGTATCAGTGTGAATGCATTAAGTATTGAACTGCAATAAGACGTATTTAAGCAGTGCAGTTGTTACATAGTTTGTCCACCAGAGAGCGCTGCAACTTCATGTCTACACTGTAAAAACATCCTGACTTGTACATCAGCTGGTCGCATCTGTTATATCTAAGATGGGACCTTTATCAAAACTGTTGGTCAGGCTCTGGTGTAGAGTGTGTAACAGACCTTACAATCCCCGTTTAACGTCCCCACTGAAATAATTACAAACACTGAACAGACATTACAAACAGAACAAAAGCTGGTGTGAAACCGGCATTAAAAATCTGTGCATGACAATTACAGAAAACCAAGTGAAAGTCCTGCCTCAGGTTATAAATGCTAAAATATATATATATGTATAAAGTAAAAACTTACCAAAAGTCTCAGTATTGTTCTGTGCTGTCATGCAGGAGAAAATGTGATAAAATCATGGTGCCTCACATTAGTATTCATCTGTAATTCCGACACCATTTATATATTTAATGATTTCTGCATTGAAACCACTGATTGAATAATTTAAAGCCATGCATTATGTGTCAAGAACACTAAATATTGGCATTAACATAAAAAAAAAAAATGCGGCAACTCAATAATACCCCGACATATTAGAGCATCAAACCTGTCTGGAAATGTACAAAAATAGTGCCAAACTCCAACTCCCACACGAAATACTGTCCTGAAATGTTTCAGCTGTATGGCTTTATTTACTCTCTGATCTATACGCTATGTGTCTGATTATTAATCTCCTGGAAAACATCCACCAGTAAACATATTTAACAATTCTTAGACTGTATTGCACTTTGTCATGGCATGTGTCACTCATACTGACAGTCCAAAAGATTACAGGGCTGGTGGTGACAGTGCAGTAATTACAGTGGCCTGTGACAGGCGTCTGGTTGCCACATTCGCAGATCCACCAGAATCTGGTTCAGTTTCTTCATCCACAGATTCCTCTCGTCCTTGGTGTCTGCACTCAGCCAGTTTCTGCACAGAAAAGCAGTCCGTGCTCAGCAATGCAGGGTCACTGTCATTAAAAGACTTTGTTTATTTTAAATATGTGTTATTAAGTGTACACTGGATGGTTGGAACTTACTTGGTGACACACATGGTGTTCTTGCACTGGCTGACTAGTGTTTCTTTGTCATCCTCTCTTTGTGGTCTGACTGTGATGAGCTCAAATGTGTTGGGTCGGGCACAAAACTCTCTGTTGGCTGGTTCCACCTTCTTACTGGTGCAGTTAGCCAGGTTGACTCGACCAATGGGATTCTGACAAAAGACAAAGGAGGAAAAAAGGAGGGGGTGTTAACAGATACATAAAATGTCAAACTGTCAGATGGCAAAATAGGAACACCAACAACAAAAATGTCTATATCAAAGGACTGCCCCCCCCCCCCTTTGTGTGATAATTTAAGGTAGCCATGTTGGATGATGTTGTTTAAGGGTTCCTTGATACTCGTGTTTGCAGAACAAATACCCTCAGCTCGAGCCTGACAATTGTCCAGTGGTAGTTGAGGAATTTTAAAAAACAAATACAGGAGCCACCGTAACTTAATAAAATAAAGAAGCGCTACAACGACAGATTTGTTGCAGAAGAGCTCGGTTACCTTGCGCTTCTCATCATCTGGGTAGGTCCAGTAGGAGATGCAGTATCCTGACAAGACGCACCACCTCCTGTGCCAGGCTCCAAATCCACTGACGTCCTCAAACATCGTCTAAAGAGGGGAATTAAAATTACACACACATTTGTTTTGGTAAATAGCATCAGCAAATCAATGCCAGCCTCAGCATGAGTTCATCTGTAGTGATGTTTGATCTGATTGCACTCACCAGGAAGCCCTTCTCCTCCACTTTTGAGCCAACTTCACACTGCAGCTTGAGGTAGACGTGGCCCTCCAGAGGGCACAAGAATGGCACCTTGAATACAAAGTACAGACACATCAGGAAAACATCGGACATCCTGTTCACCATTATAAAATGTTTACATCATGAGACATGGATAAACACATAAAAGGTTACAATGCAAGATGGTTAACAACAGTTGCTGAAAGCACCTGTCAAACATAATTAGAGATAAAAAAAAGAAACAGCTGTGATCAGATTAAGTTAATTGTGTTAGTGTAATGATGAAATGAATAATAGTCTTTGTTACAGTGTGTTCACTCTCCTTCCACACAAACAGAACAGAAGAAACAAGTGGGGAAATAGTAACCTTGGTGTGAAACATGTCACTGAGTAGCTCTCTTTCACTTCCTTCATATTTGATCTAAAAGAAAGATATCATGGTGTGTGAGTGAGGGCACAGGGAGAGCTGCCCCATGAGAACAAACAGGGTTACTGTGAGTCTCTGAAGACAGTAAACAAATGTATTACTGTGATCCGAGTCATTTGTTGTCATACAAACAGCATGGATAGTGTCTTCAGACTACGGCTGAAACAGTTTCGAGGAACTTCAGTAACTTGATTATTAAAAATCATTGATACAAATTCTTTGCATGAAAGTTATGTTTAATCCATAACCATATAGAGTGCATTGTGTCTCACACAGCTGATTTTTACTGTGGTACAATGCAGGTGATGTGGACAGGTAATGTTAAGAATAGGCCTCAAAATAGAAGACAAAGATTTGATGGCATTGGATGCAAATGGAGGTGTGGAGAGAAAATAGCAAGGGATGAAGAGAAGAAAACTCTGAACAGTGTGTCTATTGTAAACCTGAACTAAGATTAGTCTACCACAACATTACAACATCATTGTGTCAGCATGATGGACGCAACAGAAAGCAGACGTCCAATGTTTGCTAATTGAAATGACAGCTTGTAAAGAATGTATGTTAAATATGTTGACTTCCAACCAGCTCTGTGTTGTTGCAACCTGGGGCAGTAACATTAAATGCAAATAAACAACGCTCATCCTCCCTCTGGCCTACTAATTCCTGGAGCTCCCCGATTATCCACTGGCAAAAGTCTGCCAAATGGCACAAAACCTGGTGACCCCCATCGGTGGATGAGCTGGGGGGTCTGGCAGCACAGGACGCCAGTACTGCACTACATCTTTATACAGCAAATCGTGGTTTGCTGCTTTTTTAACGCTCCAAAATGTTGCATACAGAACCTTTAGAGACCCGTCTTATTTTCTCTTACATATATATTTACAATTGCTCTTTAATGAAGCAAAAGTCTTTCCTACCCGATTACTCAAATAATTAATGGATAAATCGGTAATATACTCAATGACTAAAATATTTAATGGCTGCAGCTCTGCTTCAGGCTAAGGCCAGCCATGTATAGAATGCAGAAAAACTAAAATGCACTAAAGGGACTGTGAAAAAAAGAACATGACATTATGAAAAGATGACAATAATGTCTTCTGTACCTTCTCCAGAGGAAATTTGTTTTTCCCAATAGATGACAGGGTGAGCTTGTGTGATCCGACCAGGACGAAGTTACTGGTGCGAACAGCGTTGGGGCCTCCTGGACTGGCCACGACTACACAGAGAAAGAATGACATCATTAATACCTTACATGAAGCTTAAAGGGGCGATCCACCAATTTAACTCATCAAGATTACTTCTTAGCAAGTGAAACAGTTGAAAAATGTCTTCTGTTTAAAATTTGAGAAAGTAACCCTGACGATCAGCTTTGGCTTAGAGACAATAAATTTACAACAGGAAGGGTGTGTTACAAAGTAGGAGAGTAAGTCCAAATAGCTGGGGCATTTACAAGGCAGTGCAGGCATAATCAAGAGGTGCATTTCAGTTGCATTATGGGAAGTGTAGGATAAAATAATAAGATAAAAGACGTAAAGGAAACAGCTTTAGACTGATTTTATATCGTGACCTACCTGGAGTCTGGCCACTTTTCTGCAAGACAAAAAGCAAAACCAACAAATTACAGAACACAGACACAGATGAGAAGTAATAAGACATACCTTCTGATATTAAAAAAGTGTGTTGGTCAGTGAAAAGTAAATTTGAAAGACTTACAGTGATGGCGAGGAATCTCTTTGGAGTGATAGCCTGGTGAGATAAAAGCAAATAATGTTGATTTGCTTCAGAAAGAAGAAATGGAGCGACAGATTATAATCAGGTGTCTGAGGGACAGATCTGTTGCTAGCCAGTTAACACTCTTCTCCACCCAATGAAAGGACACCTGAAGCTGTGTAGAGAACCAGTAACATCCTTCACACAGTGCACACCCACCAACACGTGAGGGATTTAACACGGAAACTGTTCATACCGACATACACAAATCATGGGCCTCATGAACCTGTCTCCATAACATCTGGACACACACACACACAAAGTATGAAGCATGCTCCATCACTGACTGACAATGTGTTTTCCATGTGGAAAGGAAAAAACAACAACTGGGGATTTACCTTTGACTTGCTGGGTTTCTTCTTCTTGTCACTGCAGACATCGCGCTTCTGCACCTGAGGATGTCATAATGAATCTGTCGTCAGTAATTCTGCAGATTTTACTTTCACAGATACTCAAATGTGATTTGAATAAGCAGATCTGGAAAACAGAGGAAATGAGTGCCTGCCTAACATAGCTGTAGTGTGTGTTTAAAACAGTAACGTAAAGTCATGTGGTCTGAGCATCATTATTTTGAAATCTTGAAACTCTGATGTAAGACACTCACCAAGCAATAGACCTCAATGTCGATTGTAAAGTCACTGGAAACTTCAGATCTGCAAGTGAGGAGGAAGAGACGTCACTAATCAACAATCACTATCAACACCATCATATTCAAGTACACCAGTAGAGAATCCGATCAAAATATTTTAATTAGAATCAACAGAATTTAAACAAGTCAAACTCTCTTGTCTGTAATAAAAACATTTCTGTTTAATATAGTGCAGGATTTACATGGTGAACTTGGTGGGGAAAGCCAGGGTGTCCCCACTGAGGCCGCGGTGTGTGCTGGCTAATGGTGTGGCCACAGTGTTCTCTGCTCCGGCACGGATCATCATGAAGAAGGAATGTTTGGTTGACTCTGAAACAAGACAGAATGATACAGATTGATCCTGACATTCTTCTTCTGATGCTGACAGACAACCATCAGTATAACAAACACTCAGGAACCTGGGACTAAACATCTAAATGGCCTCCAAAACACGATTCTGAAGGTCGTCTTCTTTACTTTTATTTCAAACAATGCTGTCATTAGCAATCTTTGTTGATGTGTAATACTGAGTGTTAGTGCCATCTGATGTCTGGAGATAATGCTGAACAACAGTGGGGAGTTGATTTAAATTGGTGTGGCATATGCATTTTGGGCTTACCTGGCTTGTTGGCAATGGAGCACACAAAGTCTGCCTTGAGAGGCAAACGCAGCTCCTGCAGGGTGATGGAGCCCTTGGAGGCAGACATGCCGGCAGGTTCTGGGGCTGCAGTGGCCTTTTTCTGGCCTGTTGGGTCTCCTTTCAGACGGTCCAGCTCTGCCTTCAACGCTTCCCTCCTCTCCGCTAAGAAAGTCAAAAAGACAGAGAGTCAAGCTTTGATACTACCACAGGGAGTCACCCAGACTTGTATACATGGTCCTTAAACAAACAGGTTGTAGTAGTGGTGCTGTATCTGTTATTATCTGTCATTATTTATACAAGGCTGATGTCTATGAGCCTTGATTACACAGCTAGGAAGCAGCAGCTTGTTAGTGACACTGTTTTAGTAAATAATAAAAGCTGATTTATAGTTGTGCGTAAGTTCTATGAGGCCTGCGCCGTTGTGAGCATTTATACTTGTGCAACTGTGATCCTGCATTGCTCTGCAGTTACACCTCCAAAACACTAGTGGGCGGTGGGGTCTCTATGTCACTGTGGTGAGTTTCTGTGGAGTATAGTAAAGTTTGACCGATTCAACTAACACACATAAAAATTGGCTTAATAGCAACAGCATTAAACAGAAGTACAAATTTAGGCTTCACCCACAAGGTTCACCGACAAAACAATGTTAACATGCTAATATCATTAGCATAAGCCTATGACATTTCACATTGTATAAATTAGCCCAGCAGCTAGCAGACTCACAAATATGATGCAGAGAACCACAGCAACATCTAACAAAAGTAACAAAATTCAGCTCAAATATAACTCGCAAAGTTCACGGACAAAACAAATGTCGCACACTAAAATGTTTCCCCACATATACGTACAACATGCTAATGTTATTAGCATAAGCCTATGACATTTTCCACTGTGTAAATTAGCCCAGAGGATAGCAGACTTTGTAGGGGCATTAGTTTCCTCACAGTTTCTTGTCTGTGAAATAAAACTAAATAAAAGCTGGGTTTCCAACAAGGGAATGGTATACAAAATACACAGGAAGTCTGTGCCGAAGCAACATGCACTTACATTTTTGGGGAAGTGCTATAGCACGCTACGGTGGAGGGTACGCATCTACGTAGAGCCTACGCTGTAAGTGCTGTGCCAATTTAACGCAAAAGTATATTTCCAGCCTCACATCTCAAAATGAACCTGATGGGTAGGTTTTAAAATGTGAATTGAGAAAAAGGTAGTAGGACAGTCCCAGGGATAGTTACAGGTTTTATAAATAAAGGTGAATAACTTCTAAGTTATCAAGTATTGTGTCTGTTGTCTGGATGAACTCACTTGCCACCAGCAGCAGCCTTTCTGCCTCAGCCTCCACCTGGGATCCTTTGCCGTGTTCTTCATCTGTGCAGCAGTTAAGCGCCTGACTGGCCTGATGAATGACCGTCTGCTGCAGGTTCATCTCATTTGTCAGAATCTATAGAAACAGCAAATGTACCGTTTTTTTCACGTACTAAAATCAAATCACATGAAAACTTTACACCCGTACTGTACTCGTACATGAATCAAGGTTCAAAGTGTTAATTCCAAACCTTCATCTTCTGTTTGATACTGAAGAGACTGGATCCCCTGGGTTCCTCTGCCCTGTGAGAGACGTCCTCTTTTCTCACAATCACCTGTTTGACATTGGGCCTCTCTGTCTCTTTCACCCTGGTGGACCTATATGCATCAATGCTATCACACAGGACAAAAAAGAAAACCATTTCAGACACACATTCAGTGCAACAGCGAGGACAGCCAACTCTAATTCATGAAACTGAAATCAAATGGGAGCGCTTACCTGTATGGCAGTTTGTGTGTGTCTTCATCTAAGGCCTCAAGACTATCTGAGGAGGCAGCCCGTGCCATGGTAGCTCTCTGGAACTTGCTAGGTTTGGAAACATGGTCTGGAGTGTTGCTCTTTATGAGGAATGAGCTGGCTGGTGTCGACGTCTGCATAAAAACATAAAATATCATTGATAAGCTGCATCTTGACACGTTTGCCTCACAACTCTAACATAAGGTACATGAGAATGGTGTTTACCATCATTCTTCTCTCTGGACTCTTCACTACAGCGGCCACAGTCTCTGCCAGTGGAGTGAGGAGGGACATGGAGGAGATATTCAAAGCATCTTCCTCATCATCTTCATCTTCCTCATCATCACTCTGCGTCAGTACTCCATCAAACAGCTCGTTGATAACTGCAGAGTTGATGGACTGGTCCACGTTCATCTCTCTCTCACTGATCACCTCAGTTTCTTCTGGGGTTTCCTCAGTCGTTTTCTCCTCAGTACGGGTGACCACCCTCAGAGGGCTGGATGTTGAGGCTGGAGGCGAGACCAGCAACCCAACACCTGCTGTACAACATCATCCATGTTAGAAAACATTTCATTTTCCCACTTTATCGATTCTAAAGACTAGAGAGTTTAAATAGGCATGAATAGAACTAGTTTATCACAAAAGGTGCCAGGGGAGGATCCCCTGACAGAGGCCAGGACCAAGCCCAAAATGTCCTCAAATCCTAGAAACACCCCTGCGTTCACCTGACTTGTGCAGGTTGCTGCAACTGGCCTCCCGTCAGTTTGCAAAAGTGACTCCCAGGCAAAGCAAGTTGAGTATCCCTGCTGTATATAAAGATGGGCAATGCGTCTCCAGTTCCTCCCACTGTGCAAAAATGAAGCCAAAACATACTGGATACAGCTGCAGCCATCTTGCACTGGTGGTGACATGATTTGGAGCCAGAGTCTGCGCAGTAGCAATCTCTGCTGTATTGAGTTCTCGTCTGACCAATTGGCACACACAGCTCTCAATCATGACGTCTAACCACCTCTTTATAGCATCAAATAACTAGTCATAACCAACAACTGAAAAGTGGTGTGACAAGAACCACCTAAAATGACAGACTGGGGAGAAAATAAATAACACAACAGGAGTGGGGTTTATGACCCATACAGCAGCCAGCCTCTAGGGGACAATAGAGATGTTTTGGCTTCACTTCTGGGGAGCGCTCATGACATCCATCTTTATTATACAGTCTGTGCTGAAAACAAAATTCAGGGCTATTTCAAGTTAAAAAAAGTGATTTCTAAGCTGCAGTTGGCCGATGTGTCTCTGAGTATGTACCAAAGATTTCTGCACAGCATGTTGTTGCATATAGGTGTTGAACAGCAGAAAACTTACAGGGGGAATCAAGAGACATTCTGAGTGTCTGAGTTGTCGGGACACGGTTCTCAACATGGAGGTGGCTGAGCTGGTTGCTGGCAGTGCTAACTCCATAAGCAGCACTAAAAACCAACAGTGCTGACAGAGCTAGCAGTGTTAACCATGGGGAAACTGGAGGGTGGATGCTATGCTTCCACATCAACACAATCCCAATATCAGTGGTAACTACTGTATAAGACATTCGCAATGGGCACACTTAACTTTCTCACTTTATAATGTAAAACACAGCTGTTTGGATCATCTAGTGACTAGAAGCAGTTTTGCCAGCAAAATGAATTTTTCAGCCAGCAACACAGCTAATGATGGTAATTCCTTATTTTTTACAGAAGGCACAGCTTAAGGTTCAGATGTCAAAAGAACCTAATTGATGAAAGAGCTTCCACTGCTAGTATCTGATCACTCTATTGCCTGGACACAAATAGAAACACAGATCTGAAATATTATTGAGTACCTGGAGGAGTGCACTTTGTGGGTGTGCCTAGTCTCTCAGTAGAGGGTGCTGTGGGTTCATCCTTTGGCTCACATTGGGCAACTTCAGCTTCCACAGGCTTGTCAAGTTGTTCCTGAAAAGCATAATATTTATTAAATATAATCTCGTATATGTTACAAAAACATGGCTATGTTGTGAGATGTCAAGCATAATGTTGTCATTTTTGTGTCAGATGTTTGCTAGCCAACCTTGATGTCTGTGTTTTTATTGGTTTCTGCTGCTTCATCTTTGTTTTTCCACATGTTGTTCCCCTTCTGAAAGCGACTGCGGATCTGAGCCAGCTCAGACTCTCGCTCCTGAAATAAAGAGGAGTCTCCTTTTACTCTTCTTATATCAAACAAAATGATTGCAACCATGAGAAGATGCACTACAACATTCATCTACCATCTTCTGTCTTTGGGTGAGATCAGATGTGGCTGTGTTTGCAGCCTGTGCAGCTCTGAGCCTCTCCTGTACCAGTCTGGTGTTTGGCGTGACTGATGATGATGATGATGATGTCTTGTTGTGGGTAGTGCCCCCTGCTGGAGAGCTATGGTTGCTACGCTCCTGGCACCTCTCTCCAAAGCGCTCCAGAAAAGATTTCACACCTGTTGGAAATGAAAGAATGAAAAACAATTTCCTTCATACATGTGAAGGAAACTAACCAAAACGTCAAACATGAAACAAATCTAGCTGTAATACTACTGGGCATTATGCACACACAGTAAAAAACTGGATCATCACTCTGTATTTAACTTTATGAAATAGTTCCAAATTAACTGCAACATGACTCACCAGGTCCAGCAGAGGCCTTTTCCTGCGGGACAGAGGGGCCAGCAGTCGTGGGCTTGGCACGAAGTTCTGGCTTCACAGGGCTGGAGGGGAGGTTGTGGCCCCTGGAGAGGGCCTGATTCTTCAGGGGACTTTGAGGAACTGATGTTGAGGAGGGGCCGGCCTTCTGGGGACTGGATGGGAAAGCTGCTCCCTGGACGGAGCTGTTCTGAGGACTAGAGGGGAAGGTGATCTTCTGGTCGGAGCTCTTTTCAGAGATGGTTACTGACTTAAGTGTTGGTCTGGCTGCAGGAGTGTCAACCATCTGTGGGCCTGGGAGACCCACGCAGCTCGGCTTTGCTGGAGAATACACAGCCTGCTGAGAAGACATACAATAGTTCCTTTTATTTATAAAGCACAGTCAAAACAACACAAGTCGGGGTATCCTGGGGATCTTGGGGTCTAACTGGGCATTCAGAACTAAACTAATATGCATCGAGACCTCTTCTGTGCAAACACAGTCAATTCAATTTCAATCAATCAATCAACAGGTGGTGGGTTTGGCAATGACAATTTCAGGGGTTGTTTTTGGTGGGTGCCGAAAAAGAGTATGAAATGAGGAGCTTTAAAAATGAGATAGAATGAAAAAAGCAGTCAACTTCACAGAAGCGGACAGCTTATGTAAAATCAGTGGAACAGACATAACTGCCTAGGCTGAAGAATAAGACAATCCAAGGTGAATCTACCTGAGAGCTGGATGTAGAGCTGCTGCTTGCAGTTGAACCGGCCATCACATGGCCTGCAGCACTTGGTTTAGTGCTGGTAGCCACAGTGGCATCTCTAACTGCCATCTTGGGAACAGCTGTACCAGGCTTCTCTTTTACATTCGCACAGGGAATGTTAGCATGACTTAAGTCGTCTTCCCAGGATCCAATGGTGGCAGCAAGGTTGGCGAGTCTGCCTTTCCTCCCCAAAGGAGTTCCTGAGGATGCGGTGGGAATGGTGGGCGGTGGGACCTCAGCTTGTCTCTTCAACAGGGACAGGGGAGTGCAGTCCGGAACTGCATCAGATGTGTCTGGAAAAGGTGGCAATATGTTTGATTTGGGCAGGGACAATCTGTAGGACTGACTTTACAGTTAGTATTGAAGCATCATGGGAGCAACCCACAGTAAAATCAGGAATCCTGTAGACCAGTGCTTTAAATAAATGCACTTCTCTACAGGGCTGTATGTGTATGCTTCCAAAGGAAAACTGACATGAAAAAGATTATGACCATGATTCTTTAAAGTCTTTAAATATCTAGACTTAGACAAACTGATCTCAAACAGCACACAAAGTATTCTTACCAGTGCCATCCCAACACTTCCTCTGCTCTGCTAGCCTCTGAAGACGAGACTTCATGCCAGCAGCAGATGGAGCTGGGTCTTCCACCAGGTCCTCCTTGCTGCTCTGCAGGGCTGAACTGGCAGACACCATCTTTGCTTCTCTGCTGCTTGGAGGATCAGGAGCAGGGGTGACAACCATCTTCTCTGGCTCTGGCTGTGCAGTTTTCAGCTGCTCTGGCTGAGACTGGACAAAAGGCCGGGTAGCAGTCTTCTCAAGGGATGAGGAAGCTCGAAGGCTAGCAGGGCCCACCGGGGGTTTCTTTTCTGTGTGAGGATCTGAGAGCTTGTGAGCCACAGTTCGTGGCATCACTGGCTCCTGGTTTTCCTCGCCAGCTGCAGGCTGGAGATTTTCCTCTGAGCACCTGCGCTTGGACGGAGAAGGCTTGGAGGACACCTGTGGAACTGGGAGGAATTGATGGGGAAATATAAGCAAAGAGCAGAGCTGCAACTCAGTAGTCCACCTGGCAAGACTCATCTAAACAGAAAGCAATCTAACAAACATACCTTTATCAACGACTGGCTCACTGATCACACTATTGGTGTCAGCCAGTGGCTCCCTGGGCCTTTTGGCCATCTGTCTGTTTGCTGCATTTGGTCTCTCTGCCATTTTCTTCTGCAGGTTTTCCCTGCGAGCCCGGGTCCGCTCCAACAGTTTCTGGTTTGACAAAACAACAAACAAACAAAACAGTTGAATCCTTACTCCAATGACTGCTTTATACATACAAACAGCATCAAAACCACTGACTGTTGCAGACCCATTGTACAGGAACAATGCCACCTCTAATAAAGTAACTAAATTACAAAAGTCTGCTGAAACTGATCCAACCATTACTAGCACTTTCTATGTGAAAAACCAAGTGCAACACTATGAATGCCTTCCAGGAGAGACTCTGAAAATGTGTGTCACTATCCCCATATTGAAAGGATATCGCCCCCACCCCCGATAGCCATTAAGAACAACAATAAACACATTTGGTTTCTGATGTGGCCAGACACATCGTTGAAACTGGTTCTGAATGAGCATTAGGACCACCAATAGGCTGATCACCTCCCAGCTTAGCTTCATTTCTATTGCACAGAACAGCAGTATCAGTTTTCTTATCTCTTATCTGAATAAGTGCTTTGTGCAAGTTTATCTGACAGCAAACCATACATCACATCACATGAAGTGAGACTAAATGGTGCCATTGAAATTGGTCTTCAACAGTGCTTGTGAGACACAGCATCTGAGACTCAGACCTCTTAATAATTACACTCTTGGTGTTGTGAGAGCATGTGGCTTTTTTCATATTAGCCAAAATATACTGATTCTCCGTCTCTTTGGCCAACTGTTGGATATCTGTGAACGCAAATGTATGGAACAAGGCACAGCACATTGTCTGTCCCTATATGGGACACTTTAACAGGCAACACAACAGCCTAAGACACACAAAACAATCCTACTCCACCAGAGATAACAAGCCTCTGTTTGCTTGCCCTCTTTATCCCCACCCCTTTCCTCTTTTCTTTAGATGACATTCCCATCCCTTGGCCTTGTCACACAATCTGATTTACTGTACTGCACGTTAACTCTGCAAGCCCAAACACATTCCTGCAGCTGCACTGCAACCGCCTGCGCATTTTCTCCAGGCAGTGTGGAAAACTGAGGTCATGTTTAACTAGCATTCCTCAGGAATGAGCCACTCCTGCTTGTGGTTCCTGGATTTGAAAATTTCTATCTCTGCTGGCCTGGATACTGGAGTAACAGGAACTGTTGTTAGATGGAAATCATTTCTAGTTTTAGCTGGCAACAACAGCATGAGTGCACCAGGCAAAGAGAGAAAATCAAGCAAAAGGGGGAAAGTGTTGGACAATCTCCAGTGCTGACACATACCATTCCCTTAAATGGAGACAAAGCTGTCTCATTTGAATAACGTTTATTTATAACAGTTGAGGGGGTTTTGGTTGAGAGAAGTGAGAAACATCACACCTATGGGGTTATGATAAGCACATTGCTGTTTAAGGATCTGGCCAGACAGTAGCCTGACTAAATTACTTACCAAGCAGTCTAACATGTAGAAAACTATAACTTTATATAGCTAACTTAGCCGTTTAAATATTATTGCTCTTGCTACTAAGTTGTCATTTGTATCTCAGCTTCGTGGCTGCTAACAACTGACAAGACAAAGAAACAACACGTGACATGTTTTATTGTATTGTTACACATTTCTGTATGCTAACGTTAGCTCATGTTCAAGTACTATGGGAGTTAATACAAGTTAGTCTCTAGCCATAACTTTAAATGTGTATAAGCATTGTTAGAATTGTGACGTTATTGTTAGGTGGGTTAGCATTAGCATGTTTTAATCAGCCTTACGATAACTATGCTAACATTACTTATCTGACGTTAGCTAATAGTAAAGTTAGCTCGTCGACTTACCTCCGTAAACGGATCCATGTTGGACAGTTTATCTCTGCTCGAGCGATGTTTTTACAGCGTTGTAATTAATACGTTTCGTACACCTCTCTGTGTACACAAACAGGGCGTAGTGAGGCGAGCTGAGCGTCTCTCAGCTTCTCTTCCAAATTGTCGGTTCCTCTTCTCTCTGCAGCAAGAAAACAACTGTTCAAATTTGAATTTCAGCGCTGCGACTACTGCGCAGACTCTGACCGTTGAACCGAGCCCCTGATAACCAATCAGAATCAAGGGGGCGGGTTTTACACTTACACAGCCAATCACAGCCCGGGTTAACTGAAAAAAAGATGTCACGTTACAACAAGGCATCACCCAGGCCGGAGAGCACGAGACACAACACTTCATCATGCGCGTCACATTTTCTATCAATAAGTCATGTGTGTGTTCAAATGCTAAAACGTACGCTCAAACGTACGTTGGTCTCGTGCACAGATCAAGTTTCACATGCTGTAATAAACAGATTTTAGGGGTTAGTTTAGTCCATGATGGCCTGTTAGTTCTGCAGTGTGTTTAACTGTAAACCCAGTCATCACTCAGGATGTTAAAACAGTGGAGCCACCAAATAAGACTGCAGACATCCCAATTAAAGAGCAGTATTCTCTATTAAAAAGCCCCTGTAACACATATAAAACATATTAAATCTTGCATTAAATTTCCAAATCAGTATGAATTAGGTAAAAATAAAAAAAAAGAAAGAAAACAATCTACTTGCAAGTTTTTGATGTCAGTGTGAGTCACTGAGTCATTTTCAAATTTAAGGTTCTCACTTTTTTGAGATGTTAGGGCGCTCTTGGGACTGATATCTGGTGACATGTTTCAAACTAAGGACATCTATCTCTTCAAAATCTTGACACTTGCATGCAAAAAGGCAGTTACAAGGAACTGGATGAAAAGTGATCCAAGTCCAGATCAGTGGCAGGACATTGTAGAGGAAATACACTCCATGGAAAAACTGACTCACTTCCTAAGGAGTAAAGCAGGGACCCATATGAAACTTTGGTCTAAATGGTTGGGTCAAGTCATCAGCTGTAATGAGATCAGAGTAATAAGACTGTGAGATGATTAGTGCCCCCCCACCCCGTTTCAGTTGTGTGTTGTGTTCAAAATGTCCAGTGTATGTTTTTTTTTGTATGCAATGTTTGTTTTGTTGGTATATTTGTTATCTGCAAAATGAACAAATAAAGAGTTTTAAAAAATGTTAGGGCAAAGTCACGTGTTAGTGTGATCTTACTAGCCCAGTCTTCCTCTCATAGTTTATACATCCAGCTCTGAACTGACCTATTTTGCATCTGGTCAATAGGACACTTTATCTGCCACCTGTCTGTCTCTTTATTTTATTCAACTGATGTAGCAAATTTATCTTATTCTATCTTTTTATTTATCTATTATTATTTTTATTTTTATTTTCCTCTTCAATTTAATGTCTTTTTTTTGTCTTTTGCTACTGTGGTACTTGAATTTCCCCTCTGGGGGATCAATAAATTATATCTTATTTTATCTTTTTTTTTTTTTTGCTGCCTTATTAATTTATCTATTTATTTATTTGCATCTTTTAATTATAAGTAGGCCAGTGTGTATGTGTGCCTTCAAATAAATACATTTTTACTACTACTACTCCTACTAATAATAATAATAATAATAATAATTTGATAATAATTTTTAATGTCAGTTTGAAGTGACCTAAGTCATTTGCCAGCCCCTGTAATGGAAACTTAAAAAAAGTAAGGTTCTCTCTTTTTTGAGATTTTATAAAGGGACCAGTTACAAGTGTGTCAAGTGTGTTAGTGTAGTGTGATGTCATTGGCCCACTCTTTCTTACATCGTTTTTTTATGCTGCCAAAAAAAGTCTTGCTGCCTTATTTATTTTTTTGCTTTTTTTAAAATTATAATTAGGCTAGTGTGTATGTAATAATAATAATAATATTAATTATATGTCTCCAATACTACTGCTACTACTGTTGCTACTAATAGTAATAATAAGTATTATTATTATTATTATTGTTATTATTATTATTATTATTATTATAAAAATAATAATATTCAATATTATTATTATCTGCTGAATTGAACTGCTGTGGTCTTCTTTAAATGTTCATGGGTTTTAATCAAAGCTAGCAGACGCAATCAGTGCATAGAAAACTACAATTATGGCGTCTAATAGCAACAAATGTCTAAGTGTGGATCATAGGACCGCTAAACTGAATCCACTGGCAATAGCTTAGTGCTCAATTGCAAATAACTTATGAATCTTCGGCTATTTTAGCCCAAACTCTTATATTTTCTCAAAAATGTCTCAATTTATTCCCTGAGGGACTTCATTTCCCATGACCACTCACGCGTAATGCGTAGTTAACAACGAAACCATGGAAACAGATCAGTCAGTGCAGGGTCTACCACACAGACAGCTTGACGGGCGTCAGTTTTGCTGCGGCTCAGAGAAGACAGACCGCCTAATGTCGGCTCAGGTATATTAATTAAAATGCTTTAAAGACATGTCACTGAATGTCTAACACATAGGCTCTACAACCAACTAGCTGTACCCGTCGGGTTTCAACATTAGCCGGCTAATTTAGCTACTTTATCAGCCGCAGCGCTCCTCGAAGAATATTAACGGTTCTTACTGAGACCTTCTCAGAGGATGCTGGACTCAATAAAAGTAATAGGTAACAACCTTGAATCTTGTTTTTCTCTTATTTTCTTGTGACTGTAGGTGTGTGCTCAGTTACCTAGATGATTAACAACATATCCAAAGCAATAATAACTAACTGTAATACCTTAATAATAGTAATAACGTCAATGTTAAAAGTACTTAACGTTTTGAAGCTAGCATTAGCTAGTTATAGTTTGGTTAGAGCAAGTAGCCAAGTTGAAATATGAGCCCCTGTAAGCTATTGTGGACCCAATAAACTTATTATTACCAGGGAAACTTTCGTGAACATAAAATATTTAATGTATTTTAAGAAAGCATGGATTTGTTATATTGTATTAAATATAACCTGTACTGCTCAGTGTGCTGTTTAACTCACTGTATCCTGTATAATTGTGTTGTAAAGACTTGAGGATGCTTTCTAGAGAGATGACTCAGTGCTGACTCATGCTAGTCATGTGCTTCAAATCAATAGTGTTTGTATATTATGATAAATGGTGATGAATGAGATGGAGTCGTTGAACATTGATTCATTTTGTTGTGCAGTTGAACATTAATGTTTGTGACTGTGTTTGCTGTCATAACTTTGATTTCATAAATGATAACAGGCATGAAAGTTCCTTAAATTAACTTTCACATGCACCCAGTATCCATTAGATTGGAATCTGGGTTTGCCTACAATATGATGTGATTGCAGCCTATTTTATCAGGTGAAACCGACTGAATGATGAGATACCAGCTGACGTGTTAGGTAATAGTATTTGATTTGGTGGCTGAGCAAGCCAATGAAGCTCAAATTTGTCCTCATCCGTCTTTCAATCAGCACTGTGCTGCCGAGGTCATTAGTTTGTGCTGTCTGTGGCTGCATGGATTCCGCCTCAGTGCTCCCGTCCGAACAGAGAGCCCACTCTTACTGATGATGTTCCAGGTCACCTTACTGGAAACTGCAATGCCCTGCACTCTGACTCCTGTGCTTTACTGCTAGTCTCTTGGAACAGGATGATTTCCTCTGTGACCGCAGTATACTGACTTGTGAAACTGAATCAGATTTATTTGAGTCAGATCACATCATTATGATTGTAAAAAAGCATTGCTTATAGAGATGTTAAAACACTGTTCATCACTTTTGATTACAAGTTATAATAGCTATTTTTGGCTTGGCACTGCAATAGATCTAATTTTATCCTGCCTTGATAAGCAGATTACTCGATCAAGCTATCCTGAGGTTTGCACGTGAAGGTGATCCTAAAATTAGCAGCAAACAGATTCACTGTCTTTCCTTGGTTTCTTATCTTACTTCTTTCAGAAATACTCCACTGGCAAGAAGTCGAAATGTCCAAAAAGTACATCTTAAACTCTGCTGACAACGCACTGAGTCCCAGCCAAGTGTACCTGGAGAAGACTTCTTCCAGCGTCCTAGACCTCTTCAGCACTACCTGCAGCAGCTACAAAATCCCGCTGCAGGCTAAGGAGAAGGAGAAGAGTCCGAAACAGTCCCCATACAGGAGGCCAAAAACATCAGTGAAATGTGGCACAACATTTAGTAGAAGAAACCGCCCGGCCATGGCTCCTAAGAAGTTGCATGCTCCAGAAGTAGGTGGGAAACCTGCACAAATAAATCGTGTTCACTCAGGCAACTCCCATCTCTCTAAACCAGCACAGAACATTGCAGTGGAGGGCAGCCGCATGGGCCTAACCCCTCATACAGTCCCACAGCTCAGGAAGATACACATCCCCAGTTCCCCTCGCACTAAACCCCCGTCGTTGCACAAAGCAGCGATTACACAGGAAGCAAACAATGCCAAGATCTGCATCCTTTCAGCCATCAGGCCATCTAATGTCAAGAAAGAGAAGGCCAAGTTTTTCCAGTCTAACTTCAGCTATAATCCACAGTTTGAATACAGCAACCCAGTTTGTCCACGTATCCTGGCACGGCATAACAATGCCTCAGATCGCTTCCTGAAACAGGTAAGGGTGTGTGTTTGGCCTATTTTGTTTGGTTGGTCTGACTTTATTGCAATTTAATGTGTTTCTTGGTTGTCTTCCTACCAAGCAGCTATGTCATCATTTGGGATGTGTCGTAACACTCCCAACAACTTCATATTGTAACGTTTTTGGGTAAAACAATTGTTAATTTCTAATAATTAGCAGTGACTATGCTTTGGAAAACTTGGCAGACTAAGGATTGTGTGGGTGAGACAGACAATAGAAAATAAACAGTGTGTTTTATCAAAACTTATAATACCAGTTTAATGTCAGAAAAACTGATAAATTTCTTGTACACTGAATATTTAACATTGTAGGCGGTGCAAACAAAGTGGGGATCTCCTGCAATGGATATCTCTGTAATAGGACTGTATGTATCTACCTGTATATGTCACCGTGGACACTGAGAGAATGTCCTTTTCTCAAAATTTTTACCAGCCAGCAGAAAATTTACATTATATGATTGAAAAGTTACACATGGTGTTTGTTTTAAAGGTTGATTTTAGTATTTTTTAAGACTTTATAAATGTGTAGTTTGACTGCTTTTAAGACAAGAGCATCAATTAAACAGGACTAGTCCATACCCATTAAGTGCACATTTACCCACGTACAGTTTCACATGGTGTGTGTTTGGGATACAGGTCATAGGAAATCGCAGATTAAATAGTCAACTGAACCCATTAAGAAGAGCAATGTATTCAGACAGAGTTTTTGAAAAACATGGGACTGACAGAATGACACACTGACAGTTTCCATGATTATGTACAGCATACCATACCATGACTTAGTCATACCAAAAATTAGGGAAAAAAACCAACAACATTGGTCCACAGGGGGAGCCACAGCGATCGGTCGCATTTTAGCCATTTTTAAGCATTTTTCTGTTGTTATAGTGCCACCCAGTTGCCAATTAGAGTTAAATTTCTCCAGTCACCTTGAGGCGTCCTGTTCTACATATCTACCAAGTTAAGTAAAAATCGATATGGAGGTTAGGCCTAGATAAGAAATTAGCTCTCTAGCGCCCCCATTTTGTTTGATGAGGTCAATAATGGAGGGGTCCCCTCAGATTATGTGAGGTCATATGCCTACAAAGTTGCGTGGTGATGGGTGAAACCCTTGAGATGTTATACACCTTTATGTGATGAGCCACGCCCTCCGCAATATTCATTGCCTTATAGAAGCTCAGTTTTAGTAAGTTTTCCAACTTTTGCCAAGAGGGAACTTTAGATATTGGTCCCTAGATTATGTTCACCGAATTTCATGCAGATCGGTCAAACTTCCTAGGAAGAGATCGATTTTAAGTGTTTTTCAAAAAATTCAAAATGGCGGAAAATCTATACAACCGGAAATTATGGGTTCTTGAGGCAAATTTGTTCCTCATGAGGAGAGGCATCTCTGTGCAAAGTTTCATGTCTCTACGACATACGGGGCATGAGATATGCCCATTCAAAGTTTGCAATTTCAATCGGTTGCTATAGCGCCCCCCTTTGGCCAATTGATGTAATATTGCTTCATTCGCATCCTCCCATGACCCTCTACCACTGTGCCAAATTTCACATGGATTGACCAAGTCAGTGAGGAGAAAAACGTGGAACAGACACACAGACAGAGTTTTCGTCATTACGTAGTAAGATGACTCAATATCTCCACCAGACTTTTATTTTTGTATGAAGTTGCTAATCAGTATTTTTTATATTAATAATGGATCAAATGACTTGGTGAAATATGAAAGAGGTGGCTCACTGTGATGAACTCAGAGAGAAATATCAACTCTGCATTTGCCCCTTTTAGCATCTCTCAGCCAATCGTTTTGCTGTTTTTGTTGTTGTTTTATTTTGCAAATTTTCTGTTTTGATTCTCTCTCACCCGTCTCATCAGCCTAGTTTCCAGTAGCTGATAAACCCACTGTGCATCATGTGTCTAAACCACAAATTTTAGCAGCTAAAGAGCCAGATTTTTTTTCTCAGTAGTTGGTGTGGAGCAAAACAGATTTAAAAAGAGAGTCTCAGTATTGGACTTCAACTTCAGCTTGTTAATTTTTGCCTCAAGGTTGCCAGTAATTCATCACCATAGGATCTAGGGGTGTCACAATATTGATTCTAAATGGAAGATCGATGGAAATGAGCTTTCAACTTTGATCATCACAATCAAAAGCAGGATTGGCAATTTTCACCAGGATCTGTAGTGCTGTATCAGAGGTATAATAATGCTGAAAAAATAAAGTAAATTTGCAAAAGTCGACCATTTTCAGGCCCAGAGGCAGTGACATGTCGTTCATCACATCTATAACAATGCCCCTAGTGCCTGAGGCTGGTGCTGAGCTGGCTGGTTTGAGATCAGCGACCTCCACATGCCAACAGTCAAGCTGGATTCTGTGATCAGAGAGACTTGATGCCAATGCTGTTCAGCCTCAGGGCCGATCAGAGCTGATGCAGTGTGAGAGAGTGGAAAGTCGCTGGGATGAATCCGTTCAGGGTACAAATGCTCCAGACTTTGTTTAGCAAACACTGGAGGATTCATTAAAAAACTGCCTAAGTGGATGTCTTAAGTCAGCATTCACAGTATGAGAAGAAGAATCACAGAGTATTTCCAGAAACAAGAATTCAAATGCATGCACCACACATATAAATGCATTAGAGTATGAGGTGAGATCATTTTCTAGTAAACAGGAAGACAGCCCAGTGGTGTTGTGTTGCTGGCCCCATTAGTAACACAAGTACACAGACAGTAAGACAGAGTGAGTAGAATCAATAGGAAATGCAGTAAAATGATCCAGTGGAGGATGCTCGTGCTTTTCTTTCCAGGACTCTGCCCTAGTTTGTCATGTTCTCTTTGTCTGTTTTGAACTTCAAAAGAAGACTGTCACTTTAATCACATTTGTCTTATGTGTATTTATGGCATTTGTAGGGTGACATCATTACTCAGGACTCACAGCTTTGACAGTTTAAAGCAGTGTGAAGGAAGATCTTTTATATACTGGACATGATTCGAAATGTAAAACACGATCTGTCTCTTAAAAAGCAAGAAGTTATCCAGGGAAAGTCAGACTCAACCTTTTTTCACCACTGCTACCCACACTACAGTAAGACGACGTAGTTCATGTCCATTAAGTGCACAGTTTATTGATAATGTGATGCAACTGTCCACACTATCTGTCTGATTTTCTGCTTGTCGTTCTGTGGGTTTGAGCTTACTTCTTTTTATTAATGTAGCAGTTATTGCCATGTTGCCAAGTACTGCATGTTCATAGCAACAACAGTAAGTGACAATGGTCACGTTCATTATGAATTTCTTATCTCTTGCAGGCAGTGAACATCATGGAGCATGCATTGCAGCGATATGGCAGCTATGAGAAGTTTGAAAAGGCCACAGGGGGCAACCTCCTCACTGAGAGTCGCATCTTGGACATTGTCAAGAAATACATGGAGAGGGAGGGTTGCTTGGGGGAGGTAAGAGGACAAGGGGACTCGGGCCTATTTGAAAATAGAGATGCTTTTTATACGCACTCACAGTTTGATTCAAACGCAAGGACAAACACACAAACACAAGGCTGACAATTTCCACTGTCGAGCATACACACACAGTCAAAACACGTCATTAAGATGCTGTAATTTGGAGCCTGGTATTTTTCTTTAGCTGCACGCTGCAGTCTGTGTCATGCTGGATTTGTACATCATCACTGCAGAGCAGCACACAGCAGGGCATCAAAGTGAATGAGCTCCAGGGACAAGTAAGACCTTACAAAAAACCACCACTTCACTCAAGTCATCCTGCGGTTTGCTTGTGCAGAGCTGTGTTTATGTAAGCATCAACAAATACATGTTACATCATCAAGTTATTAATGTTCCACTGAACACATTACACCACATATACGCACCTTGTGTATGCTTTGTAGAGCACTAATGGGCTTAGACACGCTAGAGTGTGAGTAGAAAACAAGAGTGATTAGCATTAAAGGAGAAACCAACCTGAAAACCCAAAACCATTTTGTTTAGCCCAGATAAAAATGATAGAAGCACATATTTCATTTATGTAAAATATTTTTTTCAGCATCTCTATTGCGACAAGAACATGTAAGGGTTTGCACGTCAGTTTTATCATCTGTCCACATCTGTCACGCTGACATATTTGCGGACGTGCATCCCAAAATTTAGTTTCACACACACACTGACTACATGCGTCTGAATATGTCCCCCTACGCAGACACTTAGTGTGGTATAAACAGAACACATGCAGGCAGAACAGGATGCAACGTGCGCACAGTCACATAGAAGGCTGGAGATACGTGAGGAAGCAGTCATGTCAACAAAACTCCACACATTGGGAAAGTTTCAGTTGGTTGCAGTCTGCACCCTCACAGCTAGATGCCACTAAATCCTTCTCACTGGACATTTAATTGTCATGCAGTCATATAAAAAAGAATAAAAACTATCAGTACTTCCTGAACAACAGATCAGTCCCACCCCTCTGACAGATTTGCTGGACACTATGAATCAGATTGAACTCAGTATTTTATATTTTTCTTTTTCTATTTTATTCGACAGCATTCTGCATTCTTTCCCAGACCCGAACATCATCTGAACACGTCCCGACCTATCGGGGCCTGTTGGGCTGGGGTCGGGTGTCTTCACTTTAATGTGTATGAGACAAATAAAAGTGATTTGATTTCGTTGTTGCACCAAAAGCCGAGACATCCTTCTTCCCAGGCACATCCTTACACTAAATTAAAAAAAACAGCTAAAAACTAACATTGAATAATTGATCTGTTGATAGATTGTTGTCCGGGTGACAGATGAACTCCTGTCCAGAGGCTCCATGACTGTGGTGAACAGCAGACCCACACTGACCATCAACATCTCCACTGCCCGAGAGCACTGGCTAGAAGGCATGCTGAGGCATGAGATCGGTGGGTACAGTGGTTTGTTTTATTGCTAATGTGGGGTACCTGGAGGTCACTGGAGAAATGGAAAATCATTTAAATTTAACTATAAGACATTAACCTGTCTAATCACAGGTCTGATTTGATGTCATCCAGTATTCATGGATCTATTTGATGTTGCTAGTCATAAAGTTGTCTCGTATTTAAGCTTTAATGCAGCCATATAAATAGTCCTGGTCTCTGTCCACCAGGCACACATTATTTCCGTGGCATCAACAACCGCCACCAGCCGTGGAGGAGCAACAGGAAGAAGTACAACCTGAAGCCTGTGAACCCCACAGAGGAGGGCCTGGCCAGCATCCACAGTGTCCTGTTCAGGAAAGACCCCACACTGTGGCGCGCCGCCCTGCTCTACTACACCGTCTACCAGGCCAGCCACATGTCCTTCTGTCAGCTCTTTCATGACCTGGGGCGCTTTGTCCAGGACCCCAACACCCGCTGGGACTACTGCGTCCGAGCCAAGAGGGGCCAGATCGATACAGCACAGCCAGGTCACTATGTCACTGGATAGAGAGTTTGCTGATATACGCAGCTAATGTTGATTACACATGTAATACAAAGACAACAAAATCAAAGTGATTCACATGTGATACATTGAATATAAAATTCAAAATACAGAGGTAATATTAGCCTTTAAAAATTGATATATCTGACTTTTATTGGTCTTCTCTTCCCACCTCTCACATTGCAGGGTGCTACATTAAAGACCAGGTCTACCTGGATGGTGTCCTAAGGATCCTAAGATACAGAGATCAGATCAACTTCCCACTACTGATGGCTCTAGGAAAGGTGAGGCAGCTCAACTATCTCCATCTGGTGCTTTTAGTTAGTTTACTGATTACATCACTTGCGGAGATCCAAGGGGAGAGGGGGTAGCAACACAACTCCACCTAATGGAGACTCTAAAACTTCACCTGGGCCTCCCTTGGCATATGGGTGAGTAAATAATGGCTGAATTTTCATTTTTGGGTGCACTATCCCTTTAAGTTGATGGCTGTTCCACCCTGCTACTACTTTCTCCTCTTCAGTCAGTAACTGGCTGCTGAAATGTCCGTGATGTGTTCTGAAAGTCCACAAAAAAAGGTCTTAAACACAACCATATAAATAGTTATAAGGCCAAGTATATGCTGCATTTCCACAGCATAGTGCGGCACAGCGCCACTCAACTTGACGTTCTTTCTTTTTTGGTTGTCCATTAGCAAAAGTTGTGGAGAGTATCTGGTACTTTTTTTGGTACCATTTCAGCCGAGGTTTCAAGCAAGCTGATCTGATACCAGAGGGTGAAGGTATATTAGTGCAGACCAATGATTGGTTAGAAAGAATCGTCACTAACACGACACAGGTCATCCTGCACAAACCCGCCATTTTTAAATAGCCAGGCAACCCCAGGAGGACGGAGACCAACGCATCAACAGCTGAGGAGATGTAGATAAGACGGACTCGAGCTTGGGCGGAGGGCTGTGGTCAGAGAATGCCACAACAAGTAAACATGCCATCTGCTAAAAGTTTGTAACTGACTTAACAAGCTGACTTTGCTACAAGGTGACTGGGTGTTGAAGCACGTTCTGAAACCAGCCCCTGGCGACTTGACAAGCTCAGTCGCCGTCAGCCAGCCGAGCTGAGATTGGCCAGTTCACACAGCTACACTGATCTACGACAGCTTTGTCTTGACATGAATCTTTAGTCTGATGTAGGATTTACCCTCACTCCTCAACAAACCCCTCTGACCCAGGGAATTCATGTTTCTAAACACCAGAGTGTTTCACGTAACAGCCTACAAAACGGTAAAAACTAGCACATGCTTTCCCTTCGAGGTATATACGGAAACGGACTACATTTATGTATTGTTTTTCTAGTCTTAGCTTTAGCAATTCAGCACAAGCACTATTCACCCATTCGAAGATTCTTGGCTGAGGCTACATTACAAGGTGTTCATCCAAAAACAGTCACACGCAAATCAGCAATTTTGGGTTCAGTATCCTGCCCCAGGACACTTTGTCACGTAGACTGCAGGAGCCAGGGATTAAACCACCGACCTTCTGACTAGTAAGCTGCTTCTTTTTCCATCTTGGCTGGTGTATGTACAGCTTCCTCTCTAATGTCATTCAGCAATGATAATGGTCACTCTATATCAGAGTAACATATAAGACCTTATTGGTGTGCTGGGAGTGTTCTGTTGGAAGGTGCACAAACTGCTTATCTGACTTCCCTGTCAGTTACGTAAAGCTACTTTCCTTTCCATCAGTGACATCATGTTTCTAATGGTATCTCCTCTCTACCAATGCTACTACAACCCCACTAGAGTAGAAAGTAACGGCAGAACAAAATCATTTGTGACATTCAGTCACATGAAATAAAAGTTATCACAGAAGATGGTTACAGTTCAGATGTTGAGTAGAATGAATGGAAAGCGAGTCAGAGTGAGACTTATATAATAACCTCTCTAAGGAGGGAATAGACCGTGTTCTTCTGCATCAGAGGAGCTGAACGCACTGATGATTAAACTGGTGCTCGTTACAGCTGTAAATGTTGACTCTGATGTAAGAAATGATGTGTTTTTAGCAACAACAGTTGTTTCAGGGCAGAGGAACAATCCAGGTTATCACTCACATTTACACTTTTCACCAATTCATTTTTTTTTTTAATTAAAAGATATTATCAGCCCTGAGTGACGCGTGGGTCTAGAAATGGCAGTGCCGGTCGGTTCAGTTCACCACTCGTGTCCAGGCTGAAATGTCTCCACAATAACTGGATAGATTGCCATTAAATCAGAAACAGTCACTGATAACTTGACTGACTAAACATCAATATCAATATTTCTCATTGTGACCATGTTAGTATGGTGGCATTAGCATTGAGCCCAAAGCGCCACTGAGCTAACAAAGCTGCTAGCATGACTGTAAACTCTTAGTTTTGTTTTAAGTATTTAAAGTTGTTAATTATTCTGGTTGCATTTCCGCATCATAATTCTGTTTTCGAGTCACAGCGCACCAGGCTGCTGATTCTATCTCTTCTGTTTTCCTGTGGGCTCAGGTGTCATTCGAAGATGTCGACCGCCTCAAAGTGCTGGCTCAGATGGACAAAGTCCACATCCCACTCTTCATGAAGGACCAGGTGAAGTATGCCAAGCAGCTGGTAAAAATCATGGAGATCAACCAGCTGACTGACGAAGAGCTCAAGAGCATCGTCTGAGCCCGCTCCATGCCAACGCACAAACCTGATTAAACCTGAATACAGCCTGTCAGAGCACTGCCAGCCACGGCCCACACGCCTCAACACCGTCATTGTGCATGGTAGTACAGTGTGTGATCAGAGCAGCATGCTGCATGTAGTGTAGAGTTGTGTTAGACAGATAGATTAGTTTAATCTCACGTTAGCTTTGAATTGAAAACCTGTTATCACCCAGTGATTTGTTCACTGACACAGTCGGGATCACCAAGACAATCGTTTCAGTGTGTTGTGTGTTTAGGGCTGAATGTGGTTCATTTTGTTTCCCAGTGCCAAGACAATACCTGGTTTGCTTTATTGATACTAAAATTGGAATTTTCGAAATTTCTTAGTGCCATTTTTTTATGTGGCAGTTTCTGATACTCGGTTTGTGGTTTTTAAAAGAGAGTTTTAATGTCCCATGATGACCTGGATTAGAGCCTGACTGTGATTAGGGTTATATTAATAGTTAAGACTTAAAAATTGGACAAATGTATGTGTGCCATTTTTTGTTTATTTAACATAAACGCATCACATGAACGAGAAAATCCCTTAAATTGGTTTATTTTAAACACATATTAAAGGGTCATTTCTCCCCCTTAAATCAAAAATACTTATTTTTCCTCTTACCTGTAGTGCTGTTTATCAGTTTAGATTCTTTTGGTGTGAGTTGGTACCGACCGTAGAGATGTCTGCCTTCATTTGAATATAATGGAACTAGCTGTTGCTCGGTTTGTCGTGCCAAAAAAATACATTTTCAGAAGTCATGACATGATTACTCACGATAATCCACAGAATCTTTTGTGAGTAGTTTCACGTAGGAACTTTTTCTATCTACCAATAACACCCGCCAACTGTATCACCGTGCAGAAGGAAGCGTGCATCTAAAGCTAGCCCACCTAGCACCACTGAGCTAGCTAACGTTCAGGCGAGCAGGACACCATTAATGTTTACGGGAACTGCCCATTGGTTCGACAGCCCATTGGTTCGACATCCCATTGTTCCGACCATATTAAACTCATTGTTCTGAAGTCCGTTCCGAAATCATCATGATGCCCTGTGGTTAAGGTCTGGTTAGGTTTAGGCACAAAAACCACTTGGTTAGGGTCAGGAAAAGATCATGGTGTGGGTTAAAATGAAAAAGAAAGTGACAAACACATAAGCCGTGAGCCTGCTCCGCCTCAAGCCAGTCGTGGCGCACCATACGCCCGCCACAAGCCGTTCAGCACCGCGGACAGTCGGACTAATGGGATGTCGAACCAATGACATGGACCCAATGTTTACATCTCGCACTGTCTCAAGCACAAGCCTCTCGTTCATGAGTGAATAAACGCTTCCCTCTGCGCTGTGATTAAGTCAGGCTCCAGTCCAAATTAGGCTTGACGACTACTTGAACACTTAATTTCTCGTGGACTTGTGCATGCATGTGGATAGGGTTAGCTTAAGCCATCGAAACTGTATTGATCTAGTAATGTAAGGATTGTTGTCTTTCTTTCACACACCTATGATCTAAGTGTACTTACCTGATGTTTTATATCTGTCTCTTAAGCACTTTTTCCCTCTAGATACACTTAGGGTTACTATTTTTGTATTACAGATGTAGGCATTAAAAAAGAGTTGTTACTGAGAGATGGTGAAAGCAGGGTGGTTCACAACAGCTTTGTCTTACTAGAGAGAGATGGACAGATAACGCACAAGTGCTTCATCAGCGCTGTCACACGCAGGCCTGCTAATTACAGCCGAGCCTGTCAGCATTGTTCTCCATCTGCTGAAAGGCAAAGCGTGACAGTCACTTGTCACGCTGTGTAATTTGAAGGTGAGTTCCTCATTATGCTCGATGAAACCCTTGTGATCCAAGTGCAGTGACTTGAAGCCCTGTTTGACTATTTGCACTTTGTTACCTTCAAGCTACCTTTTTAACTGCACTGATATGAGCAGTTACTGTGTTGGTGTTATTTATGATGTATTTATATTTTACAAAACAAAACAAACGCCTCGTGGTTTTACTGTGATGAGTTTTTGTTTCGTTAATAGCAAGAATGACCTGATGTTGAGAGCACGTGTGCTGCTCTGCCTCCTCAAAGACCCCGTAAATGGTACAGCTTTGTTACATGGCATTCCTATGTTTTTATTTGACTTACTTTTTTTGTGATATTCATAGGAAGAATTTTCAAATAAAGTGGACTACCTGAAAATGTGTCATGTGCTTTGTTTATCCCAAAGTATTGCAGCAGTTTTACTCCCCCAGTAGCAATTAACATTTTTTTTATATTTTGCATGAAAATTCAAAGCAGAATTTTTGGGGTGATTCTTGATTGTACATGTCTGTAATCTCCCAAAACTTTTCTGCACCTTTCCTGGAATGAACTATGTGATTTGGGAACGTTTTAGCACGTCAATAGTTGAGTCAATATTACACATTATTTATTACAGTAATTAATAAATTCCTGACGGGTTTTTTAGTGGTCGGCAGCGAATGTGAAATCTCCAATCAAAGTTTAAATTAACTGAAGCTGTTATTTAAAGGAAACCCTTTCCCAAGCTCAAACATCCCACGAAACTGCATGAAGCAGTGCTAATTAGTTTGGCCACTTGGGGATGAGCTGTCATCAAAACATCAACATGTTATCTATGTATAATTTTTTATGGTGAATGTGTCAGCAAGCAGAAATTTAGAAATCTAGCAGCTACAGAGCAACGTTAGCATTTAGCGTTTCTGTTAGTGTAACATCTGCTTTTAGCTCTGGTTTGGTCCCCACCAACTCCTGAGAAAGTACTTAGCACTTTAGCTTGATCACTACAAGTAACATCATAGAGTGTATAAAATAATAGACGTGGCCACTGTGATGTTAGCCACTGATTTGTGGGTTTAGCATTTTGGCCGTCGCCATCTTGGATTTTTGGAGCCAGAAGTGACCATATATTTCATGAGAGAGTGGAGGTAACCCTAACACTAGCTGCTAGCCTGGTTAGCACGGTGCATTTATAGCTTTGTTTAGCTGTGATAATGCCAATGACTGTAATTTTTTTGCTGGCAAAACAGCCTTAAAACCATAAAAACAAAGTACTTAATGAAGTAACTGAACATCTGACTCCTTAGAGGGTCTTTTTTAGGCTACAAAAAGAAACTGAAAACACATCTAAATAGTAAAGGCTTCACCTACACTCTTTGAATCTTGTGTTACGTTATGATCACGTCACCAACGTTGTCACTAGGGATGGGTACCGATACCCGGTACCATGACAGCACCAGTGCCGACGTAAACGGTATTAACCAGACCGGAAAGCAACGCAGATTTCGGTGCTTCATTTCGGTGCCACTGAATTTTTCATTCATTACCGCCCCCTTACCTCTATTGCCGTGCCGGTGTTATGCAGAGTTTTGGATCCCTGCCGAGAAGTGCATCCAGCTCATTGGGCAGCCGTGGATATGCGCTACACGTGACGTCACGTCAGTATATTTCACCTGCACCTGCACACAATAACCCTTGATTGGATTGAAGTGAACCTAAAATGCCGAAGGCGAAATGGTTGAAAGTTTGGCTGCACTTCACCTCAAAAGATGCAGACTCGGCTGCCTGCAACAAGTGCTCGAAGGCGATATTGTGCAAGGGAGGTAACACCTCGAATATGATTAAGCATCTGACGACGCATGGCATTTTTTTAAAAGCCGAGCAATGCACCGTCTTTAATAGCCTGCGAGACCCCACGCCAAGCACATCTTCTGCCGCTATTGGAGTTAGCAGCATCCCCGGAGAAGAGAGTCCCACTCCCAGCCCTGCCAGTGTCGTTGACGCTACAGATGATGACAGCAGCCGTTCTTCTTCGGGTGAGTAACTTAATGTTGTTAATGTGTAATTTATGTCGAGTAAATGTATTGCTGCTGGTTTTGATATGCTGCTGTTTTTATTATGATAATTCTAACAGTTTGTTGTGAATTTTTATTTTGCATGTTCTCTGTATTCTGTATTGCTGCTGGTTTTGATATGCTGCTGTTTTTATTATGATAATTCTAACAGTTTGTTGTGAATTTTTATATCGGTTAATTTCTTAGTCTGTTGTATTTATATTATTTAAGGATTTTAAATTAATATTCTGTTCAACTTGTGTGTCACAAAATGCCTTAATAAAAAGGCACCGTTTTTGTACAAAGTTTGTATGTTTTCCAATCTTTAAGCACCGGTTGGGGCACCGTTTAAACACCGGCACCGTTTCAAAAGTACCGGTTTGGCACCGGTATCGGATAAAACCTAAACGATACCCAACCCTAGTTGTCACCAGGGTAGCAACTTGTCAATGCATAATTTTAAACATGCGTAACTTTAAGTCTTAATTCACCCTCCGTACAATTGTCATGAACAGGGAAATTAGCTATAGAGACCAAAACTGTTTTTTGTTCCAGGTTGTAAACATGTTTATTTCAGCTGTATAGTTGAGCATTTTAACATGGAGGTCTGTGGGGATTGATTCGCTTTTGGAGCCAGCCTCAAGTGGACATTGGCGGTACTGCAGTTTTTGGCAGTTCTATATAGGTTTCAGGTTGCTGCTTGAGTGACACTTTTCACATAAATAATAATGAAATTGGTCTATTCTTAACATAAAAATATTGATAAATGCAGCTTTAAAGTTTTTATGTCAGATAATCTCTGTCATTATTGGTTCGGTCCAAAAGTAGGGCCTTTAAAAGCCCAAGCATTTTATTTCCCTATACTCTGTGTGTCTATCCACTGTTGATTTCTGAAGGATTAAGCACAGTATGATACAAAATGAACTATAAAAAAGTGGATTAACCTAATGCTACCCACTATCACTGCTTATAATGCCAGCAGAATATAGGCTAAGTATCTGGCGCTTGTCTCACTGCAGAGATCAATGAGGACAGTTTGACCCACAATCCGAGTGACCGCAGTAACCACATCTTTAACGACACACACTGCTGGCCTCTTCAGACCCGGTCCAAAGGTGTCACACTTCCCATTCATCAGCATCTGGTTTCACTGGGAAACTGGAAACCATTGAGGGCCTGAGTGGTGACTGACAGCTACAAGCAGTGACATGCTGCACAACAGGGATCAGTCCACAGTAAACAGCAGTCACACATGCAGACAGGCTTCACCCTCCCACCTCTTTACACTTGGCTCTGGTGTGATGAACGCCATATGCACAAAATGTAATCTGTGAAAATGCTCTTTGCTTATGACTTTGTGAGGTTTAACTCCATGGAGATGCACTAAATTTCATTCATTCATTTATTATCTGTAACAGCTTATACTGTTCAGGGTCGTGGGGATTTACTGGTGTTTTTTGCTTGTGGAATATGTTTATATGTTGTTTGTACCTTTGTATTGTTTTATGGGTATATTGTCTTTTGTAATCAGCTGTGGTTGGCTGAGATTGACTGATATTGTTAATAAACAGATCAAATAACTTTGTCATTTGCACGACTGCCTTGATGAAGTAGAAACAGGTTTTCATCAGATGAGGAACAGTTGAAGTGGTTACTGTGAAATGGAGCCACATCTCCACTAGAGGGCAGCAGTAGGCTACATAATACACTTTAAAGAGGCGACCTACAACTGCAGAAACAATCCAGAGAAATCCCAATTACAATATATAATCATTGTAAATTAAAGCA